CCCATTTTCCAATTAGAAAGATATGCAAAGCAACACTGCTCCTTGAAGTTGTTGACAGAAAAATATTCTGTGATTGGTGAAGTCATAGGTGGAAACTATTTTTGAAATAATTCAAAATTACTCATTTGTAAATCTTTCTTTATTATTGTGGCAGGCAGAATATAAGATAGACCTCAGTGATGTGTGCACCTTGTATTTATAGCTTTGTATAGCCCTCATTCAGTATGGGTGGGGCTTGTGTTTGATTCTGAGAAATTATGACCAAGGTGATGGGGTGTCACTTCCATGATTGTTACATAAGACTGTAATATTCATCATGTTGCTAGCTTTGATGAATCCCATGGCCATTATGGGAACCCGATACGGCAAGAAAATGAGAGTAGACCTAACCCAACTGTCAACAAAGAAATGAGGTCCTCAATCCATAAACTACAGAGGAGTTTAATTCTACCAAAACCGTAGAAATGAGTTGGGAATCAGGCTCTCATTTGAAACCATATCTCTGGCCAATGTTTTGCAGCCTTGTAAGAGAACTTGACAAAGATGACTGATCTAATCCATGTTCATAGTTTTGACCCACATAAACTGTAAGATAACAAATGGGTGTTTTGTTAAATCACTGAGCTTGTGATATTACATTATGTAGTGCTTGGTAACTAAGAAAACAGTGATCTGTGGTAGATAAAACTATGGCCCCAACACCCTAAAGATATCCCCATCCACATGTTTAGATGCTGACTTTGCTGATGTGATTAATTATGGAGTGATTATCTTGAATTCCAGGGTAATCTCAGACTCAGTGTAATCTCAAAGGGCTTTGTCAGTGAAGGCGGTAGACAAGTAACTCAGGGAGTGATTTGAACATGCTACACTGCTGGCTATGTAGACAGAGGAAGCAGACAGCAGCCCAGAAATATGAGCAGACATAGAGCTGAAGTCTCTAGAATGAAAGAAGCAGTCCTGAGGATTCCTTAATTGTAGCCCAGCAAAACCCAATTCAGACTTGTGGTGTTGAGAAATGTAAGACAGTACATTTGTGTTGTTTTAGCCACTAAATTTGTAGTTATTTGTTATATCAGCGTGAGGAAACTAATGCAGAATCTATGTTTATTGACATCTAAGACAGAGAGCACCTGGGTCCACCTCCAGGTGATCTGTTATTAGAAGCCACTATACAAAACCTGTGAACATCAGCTTTCCTTTCCAGAAGTGAAAAAATACTGTAAATATGGTAGCATTGAGAATTACTAGAAAATTAGCATTTGTCTTTCAGCCTATGGGCCTATCCAGTCTCTTGCTCATCCTTACCACCTCATGATTTGTTCTGATTTTATTTCCTTATTTATTTATTTTTGGTACTGGGAATTGTACTCAGGACCTTGCACTTGCCAGGCAGGCACTGTATTACTGAGTTCTATTCCTAGCCTTTTCTTCTGATCTTTATCCTTTTCTCCTTCTTCTTCTTCTTCTTCTTCTTCTTCTTCTTCTTCTTCTTCTTCTTCTTCTTCTTCTTCTTCTTCTTCTTCTTCTTCTCCTGTGCCTGCTCCTGCTCCTTCTCCTTCTCCTTCTCCTTCTCCTTCTTCTTCTTCTAAGACAGTCTCACTGTATACTCCAGGCTGACCTCAATCTCATGGAAATCTTCCTGCCTCAGCCTCCTGAGTGCTAGGGTTACAGGTTTGTGCCACCATGCCCAGTTTTTATCCCTCGCTCTTAGATTTAACTTTTATTGGTCTTTTTTGGGTTGAAACCCTTTTGTTCTAATCTTTTAGTTTGAATTCAAAGAGCAAGATCTAAGCAAAAAAATGGGAATAAATATAGCATAGGTTTCAGAGAGTGCAGTCAAATGCAACTGTGTTTTCCTCTCACTTTCCAGTTTTAGCAGCTCTACCCAGCCAGTTCTAGCCCTCAACAAAATCTCAGGTAGGTTCAGTGAATATATTAAACACGAGCAGAAAAGTCCTCCAGTTATTTGTTCAGTTGTGGTCACAGCAATTTTAATTAAAATGTTCAATTGTCAGATAAGAGTAAACTCCCAATTAAGCACACTTCTCCTTTGTCCCTATTTCAGGCCTAGAAGGCTTATTGTGGGCTAAGAGGCATTGCCAATGTTTTCTCCATTGTCCAACATTCTTCCCTAGCTGTCTCTCCTTCCAAATTGAAATGGGGCCAGGAGGGTGAGATGAAAAGCCAGAATCCAGCACTGGTGGCTGTGTCTGTGGAAGATAATGATATCTGACTCTTTCTCTTGTGAGTACTTTTGTGAATTCCTGGAAGACTTGTCAGTTGAGTTACTCCAATTGCAGCTCCCTTGAGTCAGACAGAACCCAAGGGCTGGCTATAGTCAATGCTCCTCAGCTTCTACATCTTTCGTCTCTGCCTCTCTCACCCCTGGAAGAAGATCATTTGATCTGAAGGCCTTCAGGGAATGACCGCAGGCGAACAATTCTACTACATCTTCCCCATCTTACTGTGGGACTCACGCCTTAATCTTGCCTTCCTGGAAGGGTACCCATTTCACAAGTGTAGCCTCTGCCACCCTGTCCCTGGCTTTTCCTAGTTTTTAATTAAGTCTTTAGTCTGACCTCAGGCAAGTAAGGAGTTAAGGGTTCCAAACTCTGGTTTGCAACTCCTCCTGTGACTATCCTACTGCAACTTTCTTTAGCATTTGGTGATGATTGGCATCTGTTGGCATGGGGCTGCATCTGAATCTGTCTGAATTCATCTTGGCATCTTATAACATACGAACACATATGGCTTTGATCTTTTTTTTCTTGCTAAGATTTGTTTAGGAATCCTAAAGGATCTGAAGCACGGTGGAATTAATTCTTCTTGTCTGGCAGGTGATGATTAAGTACTTACAGATGAGAGAAAACACAAGTAGAAGCTTTTTTGCAGAATGATGATAGATATCATACTGAGAAATTCTACATCAATTTTTTTTATTTCTAATGGAACAGTGAACAACCAGGCTTGGGAATGAGGGGAATAAAGACTTCTTGCAACACTGCTGGCATCTTCAGCTTTGACTCTTGTACCCTCCGTGAATGTGTCTCGGCTCCCACCCCTCTTCATCTCTATGCCATAGCTCTGATTCTGGAGAGAGGAAATCTGACCGACTCATTCCCACACTCAGGCCCAGTCAGCTCAGCCCACAGGATGGATTAATGGGTCCCACTGGCTGTTTTGGAGGGCTGTGGAAGCAAATCTGGGCAAGCCAGACAGGTGCACTGCTAGAGTTCCACACTCCTGACTGTGGTTTGTGGGACTATTTTGCATTTCTTGGTTGTTTCTTTGCTTTTTGTACTGAGAATCAAACTCACGACCTCACACTTACAAGGCAGGCACTTGTGTGCCACTGAGCTGTATCTCCAGCCCCTGTCCTGCACTTCTTATCTGCTGAATGTTACTTGTTTCCTGTGAGTAGGGACTGAAAGTTAGGAAGCACTACCTTGCTTCCATTTGCGTTGCTTTCTGCATATTTGTGTTGTATCTCTCTCCTGGAAATAAACACCCAGCTTGCCTCCAGCATTTCACCCTGCATACTCAGCTGCAGGGAACATCCTTGTCCCCATTCCTTTACAGTGGCAGAATTTCTTTGTGAAATAAAGCCAGAGTGACAGTGTTGGATGACAGTGCTTTTGACAGTAAAATTGATTTAGTGATACCAATTTGACCAGCCCCCCTCCCCCGTGCACGCATACACACACACACACACACACACACACACACACACACACACACACAATTTTGCTCACACACCCCCAGTACTGCAGGACCCCGCATATTACCCATAGAAGTCTTGTTTGATTACACTGCTGCTCTCTCTGCTGTGGCTACTAGAATTGCTGCCAGCCTGGATCACTGAGACTTGTGGGAACAGTCAGGCCACTGTCAGCAGTGCCCCCGCAGCCCTGTCTGCTCCTGCATCACTATCATGCTAAAGTGTCCTGGTGCTTTCTAGGTTTAAGGTTAGGGAACTCTAGGCCATCCTTCTCCTATTCCATAGTCCCTCTTCTTCCTCATCCCTCTCCCTGTTTCAAGGCCCATGCTCACCTGGAGGACATCAACAGGACATGGTGCAACCAGATAGAGTGAATGTACTAGGCCACAAGTCAGTGAGAGAAATACAACAGATCTCCTTCGCCTTACTCATCTGAGCAATAAATCACCAAAGCGGGTAATTAATTACAAACTGAAGCGGAAAACATCGGCTTCTCTTCAGCACAATGGCAACTGACCTTTTTCTTATGTTACAAAAGGAACAAAGAAAGGAAGGAGGAAGAATATTATAACCCATAATATGATTTTCCCTCAAGGGTTTGAGTCATTGAAAAGGTTGAGTTACTTGGAGGAAATTAAATAAACCATTAGATTACATTGTTCTGCTTTAGCTAGAAAGTGTCCTCTGTTGTGAGAGATATTTCCCAATCGGCACCTGTCTGAAATATTTATCAGCTCAGGGTCCCAGGCATGCACTTCCACTGGTGCACGGTGTGGGAAGCAAAAACAGTGACCTCCGCTGACATTTCTGTTTCATGATGCAGACCTGAGAAGATAATGATGTTCCATGAATTTATAGTATTTTAAAAATCCTTTCCCCTTACCAGAAGACTATAGAGAAATTTTTAGGCGACAAAGATAAGTAGGCTAAAGGAAAATCAGAAGGGGAGAATCAATTTTGACAGCAGTGAAAAACATAGAGGTTGATTGAGTTGATGCTTCTAAAATTGTTCTTTTCTCACTAAGTTTTATTTTAAGGGACGGGTTACTTGGCAGTACAGATAATACTGCCTGCCGTAAACCACCCAGGAAGCTTTCAATTGGATAGGTTATTACACTTGGGAAATAGTTGATTTTGGTGTTCTGAGCTGTTGGATTTCCACTGCTCTGGGAACCGAAGGAATATTCATCAGCACATCACACAATTGGTTTCAAAAGAAAATTGTCACTGTTTGAGTCTGGGTCTGTGCATTTGACAAATATTTGTTTTTCTCTTACAGAAGCTGCAAAGAATCGATACTCCTCACTGTCATTCAGCCTTATCCTGTAAGTATTCTTTGAGTAAAAGTGCCACATAATGGTCTTGGGCCTTTAGTCTCCTCCACCCATTCCAGTAAAGCTACGATAAATAACGGCTGAGGAAAATAACATGCATTCACAATACGAGTTCTAAAATCTTCATTAGTTGTACTTCATGCTCCATGTCCCAAAACTATTCACTGGAGAGAAAAAAAAAGTGATGTCTCCTCCAGTTATTAAGTATATCAGTCCTGTGGAACTCACATCAGGATTTAACACAAAACTTAAGACTTTTTTGTGGTTTCCAGTTTAAGAATATCAAGTTGTCTGGGAATATCTAACTGTAGGAGGCTGGAGCATAAGTTTTATGCTTATCACAATCTAAATAATTTGGTTGAAACCTGGATATGTCAGCCTGCTTTAAAATAGGTATTGGAAGAAACAATGGTTGTCAGAATTTGCTTTTAGCCACCTTAGTTAGGCAGGTGGAAAATGATTAAAATCATACTACCTTGAGTTCCCATATTAAAAAAACTTCACCGTGCTTTAATTTGTATGCCATTCAGTTCACTCATTTTGCCCTCACAGTTCAGTAGTCTTTCAAAGTTTACCCAAGTATGCAATTCTCACCACAGTCCAGTTGCAGAATGTTTCCTTCAGTCTGGTAAGGCTCTTTATTCCAAATTTATAATTAATTCCTGTTCCCCTCCTCATTCCATGGCAACCACTATCTTAATTTCTGTTGCTGCAGACTTGCCATTATTTGTGATTTTCATATATTGTCAGGTGAATGAAAATTCATCAAAGCAAATTCATTCTGATTTTTCCTAAAACAGTGGCCATCAGTACCTAGAGAGGCAGAAGTTCCAACCTGCTCAAGCTTCTGGTTTCTTTCCCCTACAGAATTAGAGCACTTCTACACCAATGGTACTTGCCAGTCTCCATCTTTCTATCACACTCTTCATCTCCCAGGTCCCAAATTTTCCTCCCAAGTTTGTGACCTAGGCAATACATATATTACAGAATTCCAGTAACACCATAAATAGAACTAACCAAAACAACAATTATGTTATCCAGGACATAACTGCATATGTTAAAAGCTCAATTTAATATTGACTGTGTGTTTTAGCCCTAATGCTTTGATGGAATTTATGCAGATACATTTGGATCTGATGCCACAGAATGTAAGAGAACCCAGATTAGAGATCTAGTGCCCAGCAGTTAACTTGTGACTCCCATAACTGCTCAGAACTTCCATTTTCTCAGCCATGACAGGACTGGGTAAGATCACACTATGGCCAGGCACTCTCTGGCTCTGTTGTCTCAGGATTCTATGGTTTGCAGTAACATATGCTTTGAGATTAAAGTACAGCTTGGCTGTAATTGTCATTCTCACTTACTTCAAAATCTACTCACACTTCTTAATTTGTTTGTTATAGGCAAATACATTTCAGCAAAGCCAAGGTAAATGCCTGTAATAAGCAAACAACTGAACAATTATGAATTCCTGCTAGAACTTTGAATTTAATTTGTCTTTCTCTGAATTCTGGCTCGCCATTTTGCAACCCATTAGAAATTGTAAGATCAGAACCATTTTATTCCAGCTCAGATTAATTTTTCAATGTGTGGTACCATTTCACTACTTGCAATAAACAAGAAAGCCAAAGGGAAGTTTGGCATTCAAGTTTGAGGTTGTCCTGTGGCTTTGCTTGTTCTTTTTGCAGATTAGATCCATGAGCTTGTTCTCTGTATGAATACTCATTTCTATTAATGAGTGAATCATAGGACTTCCTTTTTGCAGATAATCTGGAATTTTCTAAGAGTTCAATTAGCTTTTGCTGATGAGCTCTATTAAAATCAATGTTTAGCCTCAACATTCTAGAGTAAATGTCGCATGTTCCTGTGGGTAATAGCCACTCTTCTGCTCAGTCACTCTCTCCCTGTCTAATCACATCGCTGATGAATTTTCATGTTGAATCTGAAACTGACCAGTCTTCTGACTGAAATGCCCACTGCATTCTCCATTCTGACCCCCTCCTCAGCCTGGCCAGCTCATTCTTACCATTCACATCTCAGGCCAAATTCCAAGTGCTACTCCAGGCCAGCACTGTTGACATTTAGGAGAATTCTCTATAGTGGGGTTATCTTGTGCATTATGGGATGTTAAGCAGCATCCCCAAATTCTACTCATCAGTGCCAATAGTGCATTTCCCTCTGTTGTGACAAACAAAATCAAATCCAGACATTATCAAATGTCCCTCAGGAAAAATGTTGTCCGCAGTTGAGAACCGTTGTCCTGTATATGTCTCCCCTTACAGTTCCAGTGCAGTGTGACCTTTGCCTCCTCTGAATTGTGAGAATCGATGGTCTCAAATTGCTTAGATACATTAGATACGAAGCAGAAAGCAGATGGGAGAGGAGACAGCAATCTCCCACTTGTACTTTTGGCTTTGGATTTTCCTACCAGAAAATTTCTTCTTAAACAAATATTTGGCTTCATTTATCTGCTAAAACATCCTTTGGTCAACCAGGATTGACATACAGAAACAGATGACCCAGCAGGTGAAGAGAAAATCCATAATTCTATTTTTATTACAGACAATAAAAATTAACACTTTAATTCCTTTTGTAACCTGCTGGCCAGCACTTTTATATTGCTTGTACTTCTTGTGTAGGTTAGGGGCCAATAAAGAAAAGAGACTTAATAGTTACACTTTCCTGTCACACCCCATTTGTGTCCAGAGCACCTTACCATGACCTAGCCAAAGTCTTTCCAGGAAAGCTACAGTCAAGGGGACCAAGGAGAAGAGTCATAGGGTCCCTGAAATTCTTTGATTAGAAGTAATTCTAGGCCAGGCATGGTGGTGCATGCTTGTGAACTCAGGAAGCTGAAGCAGGAAGATCAACCCAAGTTTGAGGCCAGGCTGGACTACATAGTGAGCTCAAGGTCTGCCTGAGCTACATAGTGAGACCCTGTCTCAAAAAAAGTAATGCTAAGCAAATTACTCACTTCATGTTTAAAAGTGTTACTGAGACCTCCTCCCTCACTTTTTACTCTTTTTCTTAGGAAAAAACGTAGAGGTACAAAAGAAATTCAGAAACAGAAAAACAGGCATTAGCAAATCTTTTCTTCAGAGATTACCATATAAACATTGTACCCTATGTTCTCCCAGTCTTTTGAAATATGCCTTGTTATCTGTCAAGATCATATCACACATACAAGTTTATTTTGCTTCTTTGTTTAATAAGCGTTTTTGCATGTCATCAAAAATTCTTTATAAGCATCTTTTAAATGGCTGCAAAACATTAGCTTGAACTGAGAATGACTTAACTAAGCCACTATTATTGGACTCTTCACACTGTCTGTAATATTTTGCTATTATAAATAACACTGCAAAGAATATCCTTGTACATAAATCGCCCTCTTTTTTAGAAGTATTTCTCCAGGATGGAGTTTGAGAAAGTGTTTCTGGGTTACTCATGAATTTCCCTTCCTTTGTACTGATGGGGCATCTTCCTTGCTCCTGCCTTTATTTTTATGGCAGATCTTTCACTGCTGAGCTCCTTCCCTTTCCTTGAACTCTGCTTTCCACAGTTTCCAATGCTAGAACTTCCCAAACTTGCCAGCCAGTCCTGAAACAGAGAGTATTTAGAGTCTGTACACCTTTCCTCACACTACCACAATTCAGTAGGACTTAAGCAAATTTGCTCTCTCAGTTCTAATGTCCCTGGGCTATCATGATTCACATTTCTTTGGATTTCTTCTAGGGGAAGAGGTGGGGGACATGCTTCCCAGCCTTCCAATGTCTATCTGCCTTCTCTTTTGCTCCACAGACTTGAGGGAAGCTGCATAGCAGGTGCTATCAGAGGCCAAGGTAGATCCCTTTGGCATCTGTCATGCTGACCATGCCAGTCTCAAGTTCCGGGGTATTATCATGGAAGGGAATACCAAGGGAATGGGCCCAACTGCTAACCTCATCATCCTGGTGCACTTTGGTTGTTTGGATAAGTTGTTTATGAAGCTTTTGAGGCTTCAGAAAAATATGCAGCTGTGAAATTTGAAGTACAAACATCTTCTCCACCTATGATTGGCAGGAGCTGGTGGGCAAATACCCCATCCCCCTCTCTCCTTGAACAGTGTAACGCAGATACATGTGATCTATCTTTTTTCCCAGGAGTCTCCAGTACCATAAGCTCCAGTGGCCTACAGCAGTGCCCCATTTAACAGTGAACATTTACCGGTTTATACCCCCTGCTGTGTCCCTCACACCACTCACCTTCTGGTGACTCCTGGCAGCACTTCCAAAAGTAACTGTCCTTCCCCTGAAGTCTGCTTGATGGGGACTCCACATCAAGTCGCCTAGTCCTCACAGATATGTACTCAGTGCCTGCTATATCAGTAGTACTCTAGAGCCATAGGACCTGCGAGTTCAAGGCCTTACACTTTGGTTTCAGAAATTAATTTTATTTATGACATTTTTTCAGACTATGTTCTAGTGATTTCTAAGAGAATCTAAAAGATCCAGGAGCATACCATGCTCTAATGTGACTACCTGGGCAAGAGCAAATTTGGAAAGAGGTACAGGGGTTGATTAGGGGCCTGTTAATGTTAAAATTAATTAACTACAGGAAATCTGATTGTTCTAAATGATAATTACTCATAATTTCCATTACAGGATAGGAAATAATTGTGATATGCACCTACAGGTTGCTAAGAATTAAGTCACCAGTATTTTGAGTGGGACACAGTGTGTATGTTTTAAGTAGCAAAGAGAAATCTGTGTTGAAACTACTGCTCTGACTGATTTACACTACCCCATCTATAGTAACTGTGGCCAGTGGAGCAAGCCATTACTACGCCAATTGTCATTAAGTCGCTTGTAGACCTGAAGACTTTTTTAAATCAAAACATATTGTTTTAAAAGTATGACAATTATATGAAATAGTCATCAATTATGGACAAAAACAGTGTACTCATTGCAAATTCTTACACTTTTACTCCAACTCTGTTAATTTCAAATTATATATAAAAATTTTACTTGACATTATTGACTATCTTTTCTTTTTTCTGATATTCTTAGACAAGCATGTTTGTCAATAGGGTGTAGTAAACAAATATAGTACTGAGGCTTCCCAATATGGGTGTTCTATAGCTATGGAAAGAAGAAAGAAGCATCCCTAACTTAGCAAATTCTGCCCTGAGTTATCATTTACTTTATGGGCAACTAACCGTGTGTACATCTATGATCCCTGGGGCTATCAGTGAATTCTAAGCTTCTATCAGACAGTATCTATCCCCAAACTGACTTTTGTTAAATACACTTTTCTATGAATTCAAGCAATCATGACATTCTAAGAAAATAGAGTAAAATACAAAATCACAAAACCAGATGCCCAGAGGGGTAAATTTCAATATCTAGCACCTGGAACACCTTGGAAATATCTCATTTCCCCAGAAAATCTGGAAAAGTAGAGTTTTACTGCATGGAAGCATGTCACACAATTAGTAGTGTCAGATCTGGGTAACTTTATTACAGTTGCTTCCCCTGTGCTAAACTCATTGTACTAATATAAGTACTGGCTGCTTAAAATCATTAAAAGAGAATAATGTTCTCCTTTCAGCTAAAAAATGGTCTTTCAAAAGTAAGTGAGCCCACCACTGTGATTTCCTTGTGAATCTTTACAAAACTTGGCCTATAATTCCACAGATGCTGACGAGCACAGCTCTGTCACTTAAGTTCATGAGTAGGTCTTGTAAAACTCACATGGAGCATGTTTACACCTGGGATTTTTTGAGAAGCCACCATTCGGAGCTCTTTAGATATTTTTGTTTGTTTGCTTGTTTGTTGTTTAAAAGAACAGCCATTCTCTTAAAATGACTTGCATAAGTAAGTTAAGGCTCTGGAGAACAAATGATCATCCATCCAGTCCTCTGAGACACCCTCATAGCAAAAGTTGAGACAGGTATGGAGGAAATCTTTGGAAATAATAGTTCTCCTAGTATTCAGGCCAGTACTCCACCCACAACACACATGCACACACACACACACACACACACGCACGCATGCACGCACATGCACACTCGCATGTGCGTGCACACACACATACAGGTTTTATGGTTTTTGCAACACTGAATTTTATTGTAGTGAAATACAATAATATAAAATTTGCCCCTTAAGTTGTATATGTTAAAGTACACGATTCAGTGGCATTAAGTACATGCACTGTATTGTACAACCATGTCATTATCTAGTTCCAGAAGTTTTAATCACCACAAAAGAAAACCCCATGTCCATTGAAGAGTCACTCTCCATTCTGTCCTCCCTTTCCTTCTGGCAACTACTAGTCAATCAACTTTCTGTTCCTATGCATTTTCCTATTCTGAACATTGCGTGTAAATATAAGTATATAATCTTTGGATCTTTTGTGTCTGGCTTCTTTTACTAAGCATTATGTTTTCAAGGTTCACCCGTGCTATAGCATATGTTAGCACTTCATTCCTTTTTTAGGCAGAGTATGTCCGCTATATAAACAAACCACTTTTTATTTATTCATCATATCATATTGTTTTTAATTTAATTGACCATAAGACTCTTTATTTGAAAAGAATTTGATTTTTCATTTCATTTGAAATCCAAAGTAAAAGCCACTATGATTGGTTTTTGTGCCTTGAAATTAATTCAGTACCTAGAAGGTCAAACTTTTGTGTTGATTCTGGGGTCAATTACTAAAATTTGTTTTGCAGCAGCCTCAGCATCTTACGCTATCTGCCATTGGTCTGAACCACAGCTAATTACCAGTGTTCAACCTCTGCAGTCTATAAAATAGTTTATAAAATAGGATAGGCTTCAAATTAATTATCTACCTGTATATTAAGTTCAAAAGAGAACAGAGTACATTTTGAAAACAGACAAATGAGTCTGACAACATACTGCGGTGGTACCTCAGTTTGTAAACTTAATGTGTTCTAGGATTTTTGGAAAAGACGCCCACATTTGTGTTCATGTCGGAATGATGGCTGTAGTCTTGGCACTCAATTAGTGTTGCAAACTAATTGCCAAACACTCCTGTTTGTGAACCAAATCATTGTAAATGAAAGCATTTATAAACCGAGGTACCGCTGCAGATATCTACTAGATGTGAGTTCCCTCCTCTTTTGGCTTTATTAAAATTATATAACAAAGATTATTCTCAGATGAAGTAATTTTATGAAGCTCGTACAACAAAAACTCCCCCAGAACCTCAGTATCCTTCTAAGTGAGTTCTTCATGACACTTCCAATTTCTGAGCAAGAACTGTATTGCTTACCCTCTTGTTCTAATAAAAAGGATAGGATCACAAAGTACAAAGAATCTGTAAAATGAAGAGAATATGAATTCAAATTGTAACTGTAAGTCAATGTTTCCTCTCTACTCTGATCTGGTAAGATCACAGATCAGAAGTTGCCATAAGAGGCCAAAACTCAGGTTGTAGCTACATTAGAAACCAGTACTTAAACAAGTACATGTGTACATTTGTGAATGTGTTTGTATGTGTACTTGCCTGCTGACATGTTCACATATTCATAACGTGAATAACACTTGGATTATCAATCACTTCAGCCTGTCAGTGGCTCTTCTCCACTTCATTAAAATAAGTACTTAATGAGCAACACACTGAAAGCTCAACTTCAGATTTAATCAGCCCCTCGTCTTCCACATTGTGCCCAAAACTCTGTCTTAGAAGCAAGGTTTATGTACTTCATTGGCTATCATTTTAAAAGATCTTTAAAATGTCCTCAGTAAGGACATGGGACATACTGTTTATAGCCCTGACCTGGTGACTAAACCAAACTTACCAGCTTATGGACATGGTGGGGTTTCAACTGTACCCATAATTTGCATTTCATCCTTGAATTGGATATACACCAAACATTTTTTATTTTAGCAAAAATACTGTTTGTCTATGAGGACAAAGATTTAAAAAGCAGCAAGTACCAGTTTGCATTGTATTTCCAGCAATCAGATGAAATGTTTTGTTTTCTTCCAGTCTCCTAAATCAGCATTTATTAGTGCTGCGAAAAAGGCAAGATTAAAGTCCAACCCAGTCAAAGTGCGCTTTTCTGAGGAGGTCATCATCAATGGCCAAGTATCGGTAAGTTGATAGTCACCCACTTTGTGACTCAGAGTCACTGACGCAGGGCCACTGCACTCAAGCAAAGCCAGTAATCCTACCAGAAGGATTGATCTGAAACTGGTTGATTTGCACATGGTGGGAGAGGGGGTCAATCCTCATGATCATGAAAAGCTTGACAGATCATCAGGCCATGCCTTAATCCCCTCTATCATAGACAAAATATGGGACAGGCAAGTGTTTTCTAGAATGCTCTTAGTGTTAGGAAGCACTTGCAAAGGACTTCATTTAGTGTGGAAGACTGACATTGCCTCATCCATACTGAGTAAAATATGCCTCTCTGAAACTTCCTCCTGCTCTTTCCCCAGTGTGCCAGCTGTGTTCTTCTGTAAAAGAGACCACTATGTGCTTTGAGAAAAGTGTTAAGCTTCCATTCTAAATGTTTCCCTTTCAGAAAAATAATTTTTTTGATCTTTAACAAGTCAAAATAGCAAAGAATCCAAAACTCTGGAAAGAGTTGCGTTCATAGGCAGAATCCCCATGCAAAAAGCATGACCTTTTCCCAACTGCTATTTCCCATGCCATGCTCCTAAATCCTACTCTGTCATGATCTGTCTTTCTCACCTCAGTGGATCCTTGTGGATCCTTCGAATACAGAACTATGGTACACAATATATTTGCAACAAGATGGTCCCATTTGAAGGTTGGAAGTTTCCAGGCTCAGAGGACTCCAGAGGGTCATCTGAAATTTACCTTTTCCACCAGGAGCTTTTCCAAGCATAAGACTGGGAATCTTTATGATCCTAGAAGCTGCTACAGCACTGTCAGTTCATCCCCAAACACAACAGGTCTCATAGATGCGGGCAGCTCTAAGTGCCAGTGGCCTCCTATAGCTTCTGCTGCCTCATCACAGGCCTGTGGATGCCAGAACTTTGGTTATGTGTCTGCTCCTCAGCATTAGTGATTTCTTTCCCAGTCTGCCTTCTCAATTCTGGGGTGCCGTTTCCTCTGAACTTGGATGCAGACTTACTTGGTGAATTGGGTAGCAGGAACGCCATGTGGAAAGTCTGTGGAAGTAAGAAGAAAATGCAAAAAATCAGAGAAAGAAATAGGCAGTGAAAGTCAGGGAAGCTGTTAAGGGAAATTTGCAGGAGTTGCATTTGCTCAGACTATAAGACTAGCAAATGTCAGAACATCTTGTCTGTGGTTTCCTCAACTGCAAACCAAGGGTGTATGCTCTGAATTCCCCTCAACCTCTGTTAACTTTGTGCTCAACTAACGTGTACCTAAGTCAGTTCGCTCCCAGGACTCATGAAATTCCTGCAGATGTGTCTTCTTCTCTCACCATCATCTCTCATCTCTCCCGATGTCCAATTGACAAAAACATCCAAAGGAATACATTTCTGTTGTTCAGTTTTAATTATGTGTTAAGGTGGCATCTTGAGTTATTTCTAAATTATGATCTGTTCATTACAGGCTTAATGATTTACTCTCTTAACACACTAACCCTTTGTTTATATTTTTCTTTGAGTTTGAGGAACATTCTCAAATGGTTTACAAATAGTTTCACAAAATATCTTTACACTTGGAGCTGGTTAATGCTTGAGACTCTCCATCATGGCTGGCATCAGGTTGCCAGCAGCAGCATAGCTCTGATCCTCATGCTGCTCAATTCAGCCTGCTCTGTGGAAGTCTGTGCTTGTGATTCCAAACAGTAAGGCTGATTCCAAAGGAATTACATTTGTGCTTGTATTTCCCAATAAGACTCTTGAATTTAAAAAAAAAAAACTAATCTAATTGATTTTTTGATGAGCAAATGTCTTTTATTTGAATCAGGTGAGTTGACTATAGCTGGAAAAGGATATTGCTGTAAACATCTTACGTCACCAGAGAAACCTCTTGGTTGGCCTTTGAGAGGTTGATTGTTTTCTTATATTGTGGTTAGGATAAATTATAGACATGTGTTTCCAAGTACTAGAAGTAGAAGTCTAGTTTGACTGACCTGCACTACCCCCACCTTTGTTGTTAAACAGGAAACAGTTAAAGACAATTCACTTCTTTTTATGCCAAATGTTTTGAAAGTCTATCTGGAAAATGGGCAGACCAAATCCTTTCGCTTTGACTGCAGCACCTCCATAAAGGTAAGACAATCCATGGGTACCTGGATGCAGGTGTGAAGTAAAAGACCCACGATCAGGCCAGTGTAGCAGCACCTTCTTTCAGAACTGTTCCTTTATTTCTGCAATTGCATTGATTGTTTCCATATAAGACCATTTGTGAATACTTCAAATGGAACCAAAACAAAAAGCTTAAATGGAGAAGGTTCTGTTCTTAAACCCCTCAGTGTTACAAAACAATATAATATGCTATCAATGGAGGAACACTAGGATAGTCATTTTAATGCAACTGCTGATTAATTAAAATAACATGACTGTCACCAGGAGGGGTTGGCACCCTGCCCAAAACCAGCATGATTTCTCAGCAATGTCAGCCACGAAGATTAAGATGTTAGCTGTTAATTGAATATCTGTTACTTTGGTGTCCAGCAAAAACAAGGGGTAGAATAATGTAAAGATAACATTTACTTTTAGTTGCTATAACTCATTTCATGGGAATGATATATACAAATTCAAGGATGAGGAGGAGGGATGGAAAGGAAGAGCCACAAAGCAAACCTATTATTTCAGAGCTACAGGTGAGCTCTACATAATAGGCATAATTGCACAGCATACGGGTTTTTTCCCCATGCTTCCTTCCTGGAAAAGAAAAGTGCATATTTTTTTTTAATTGAACAAAAGTCTGTGCAGCAATTGATTGCTTCCTAATGTTTCAGCAGCCTAAAATATGCTTTCTTCAAATGGCATAGTTAAAAAGATTTTATGGATGTAAAAAAAAGTACCTAGTGATGATCTGTACAAATAATCTATCAAAAGAATATCAACTCTGCGTTAAAAATGTCTATCAATAGTCACCTGGTAGTTCTCGGTGTTTTAAATTAACCAACATAGACCGCACGTGTGGAATGATTTCTGCAAGGGCCCACTCACTGCGAGTTTTCATTGTTATGATACCAGCAAGCAGCTTGTTTTGAATTGCTTTAAATATGTGGTGATTTAGGAAGCAACAGAGCAGATGATATTAGTAGATTGATATTACAGCATTAAGTCACTCCAGATGAAATATTAACTTCTCTCATCCAAGACTACTAATTTTAAATGGTAATGAATGACAGTCTTGTTCTTTTTTCTCCTATTTAGTAGCAATTAATGCTGGTATGTTAATTGAATTATTGATCAACTAACACAGGCATTGGCCAACTTTTTCTGCGAATGGCCAGATAACGAATCCTTTAAGTTCTGAGGGTTCAGTCTTCTGTTGCATCATGAAAACAGCCACAGACAAGGGAGTTAGGGGAGTCCTCAAGACTGATGGATGGCCAGCTGCACTTGTGGGGTCACCCTCAATAAAACCTCTAGACACCAAGGTCCAGAGCAGTGTTGGCAGTATCTCCATGCATAGCATCACGCATCATTTCTGGGAGAATTAAGGGTTGTATGCAAGAATCCACTGGGAGAGGACACCAGAAGGCCCTGTTTATTATGGCAGAAGTCCAGAGAAGAAAATCAGTGGTGGGCAAAGGTACCTAGCCAGAGGCTGGGGGGTATGGGGATGAAATGCGTTGGGTACAGGGCCTTCTGGTATCCTCTCCCAGTGGATTCTTGCATACAAACCTTAATTCTCCCAGAAATGATGCGTAATGCTATGCATGGGGATACTGCAAACAAAGGAAGCTTCCGTGAACCCTGGTGTCCAGAGGTTCTATTCAAGGTGACCACATAGGTGCAGCTGACCATCTACCTGGCCTGCCTGAGTGTCCATCCTTCTAGAAGTCGAGCTTTTTGGTGCGTGCACCATGGCTCATATCATAAATCACATTACTAACATAGACCTTCAGGGCTGGCCTGGGAAAAACACTCCTGTCAGGCAGGATATTCCAAAGGTTAGGATTGCTTCCCAAGAGTGGGAGCCGGGGCCACACCTTTCTTTAGGCAGATTGCTCTGCTACTGCACATACCATATATGAACAAATTGGCATGGCCAAATGGACCCATGAGCCACCATCTGCAGACCTTGAACTAACCCATAGAGCTACTCTACTACCATTCTCTCTGAAACCACAGACTCCTGGTTCTGTGTTACCAACTGCTCAGTTCCTTGCTGTTGGGCTCCCTACCGCAGCCAAAGCTGTAGGTAAAGACTTGAGTGCATTTCTTATCAGAAACAAATCTAAACTCAAGAAACTCTGCTGTTAATTCCCTCTGGCCTCTTTATTATAGGAACCAACACTAGACTGAGTTTGATTTCCCCAAGGATTGTGGATGACAATGAGAAGGCAAGGAGGGATGCAAAGAGTTCACATCAAATTCTACTTACCTTATCTTGCACCTCTCAGCCTTATTATCACAATAGACGCTGGCTGGTAGGCGTAAAATAGAAATAGTACAGTTATGAAAGGGGTATGACACTGTTTAATAAAAATCGCCAAAATTCTTGCTACAGAGTTACAATAGGGAAAAACTATAGCTATCGATTTTCTACAGTGGTGGTTGAGGAGAATGCTTTTATAAAGTATATGTTGCCATACAAAAAGCTGATTTTGTTTTCTCCTTCCTGCACCTTGTACAAAAATTATAAAGCAGAGAATCTTTTCAGGAAATTCAACATGGCCAAAGCATTCCTGTTGAATAATTTTTCAATTGAGGATGGGTAGGTGCTAACAGGGATTTCATTTTAATAGGACCTGGAATTTTTTAAAGGGCCACAGAAGAATCCAACCATCTGAAAAATCAGTGAAAAAAAAGTTATCTACAGCAGTTTCTCTACCTTGGCATAATTGAGATTTGGGGTTATTCTTTGCTGTAGGACTGTCCTGTGCATTGTTAGATGTTTAGCAGTAGTCCTGGCCTCCACACATTTGATCCCAGTAACATTACCAACACCATTGTGACAACAAAAATGTCTCCAGAAATTTCCACATGTTGCTGTGGGGCAGCATTTCCTTTGGTTGAGAACCACTGTTCTATGGGATTTTTACCATCTGAATATAATTATCTTGAGGAGGGATTGTTTTCTACTTTTCAAGTATATAACAAAGTAAAGAATGAAGATATTAAGTTTGTACTGCAGTAAATATGGGGTTTTTTTTTGTGCCTGGGACCCTTTTCTAAGTGTTTAATCTTATAAAAAGTTACCAACAAAGCTTGTTCATTCCATCTTCCCCAGAGATGTAAAATTAACATATATTTTTATGGTGTTCTAACTCTGTTTCAAACAATGGTATAATAAATGCTTTCTATATATGAACTCATTTAATTCCTAGATCCATTCCAAGGCAGGCATTATTATCACCTCCAGTTGACAGATGGGAACTAAGATACTTGGAGATTAAATATCTTGCCCAAAGCTGAATAGCTAATAAATGGTAGCGCTGGATTAGAAAAACAGACTGACCATCCCTGGAGCCCACAGTCCCCACCACCAGCACACCGCCCTTTCCTTCAGTAGCATAGGATTGGAACCAGCAAGCTGTGTTCACGAAGAGCCAGAAAGCGAGTAGTCCAGGCTGCTCATGCCTATTGTAGTCCAGGTTGCTCATGCTCAGTTCTGTGGATGCACTGCTCAAAAGCAATGAACAAAAGAGGAAGAAATGGGCCTGACTATGTCTCAGTAAATTTTACAAAACTGGCAGTGGGTTAGATTTCACACACCAACCCCTGGGGTACAGCACTGTCAGAGCTTGTTTAATTTCTACCTCACATAGAAGACAGGAGACTTGTACTGACTGCGCTACACCATCTATTGACAACTTTTCTCGTTTAAGACTTCATGTGCTAGGTAAGCTGCTCCTCCAGCCATTCCTTGTTGCCTCTCTTCTTTGAATGCCATAGAAAATTTGGGTGGTGGTAGAGGCCACAGAAAAGCCAAGGGAAGGAAGTCCTGATCTCTGTGTGTTTTAGAGTCTTAGAAGTATTAAATTCCAGAATCCAGCAAAGGTGTACAACTTAAGATGTGAAGCCTGAACATGTTACAACTTTCTAATCATGGTAGACTCCACAAAGGGTCAGGCTGGATTTTGATCTCTTTGTGTCAATGTTTTCTCCATAAGGATGTCATCTTAACTCTTCAAGAGAAGCTCTCCATCAAAGGCATCGAGCACTTCTCCCTCATGCTGGAGCAGAGGACAGAAGGGGCTGGGACCAAGTTGCTCTTGCTGCATGAACAGGAGACGCTAACTCAGGTCTGTGAGATGTCACTCTCTGGGCCAAAGCTGCTAGTGTCAGCAGAGCCCATTCAGCCCCAGAACCCCCTTTCCTCAAACCCTTTAAATGTAGTGACTGCATTCCCTGTGTCACCGTGGAAGGAACCAATAGAATTCACAATGTTTTTGTACCTCAAGGTGATGGTCCCTTTTTTTGTCAATCTTTCATAGCCTATCATTGGGTCCTCAAAACAGATTTGTCATTCTAAGACTTGGCAGCTACTCTTAGGGAATATAGCTCTGTCAAATTCTGTTTTACATTATCACAATGACTTGTTTGACTGTTTTGATCACTGATCTCCTGAAATCATTAAAAATAAATGGTTTCTGAGAATATGTAAATAAAACTAAAATCATAATTAGTTGTTTCAAATTCTGTATGCATACTTAAGACATTTTTGCATAGCCTAAAATCTCTGTCCCAGTCCTGCCCGCTATAAATATGTGATCTACCCATGTGTCCCAGTTCCTGGTTACCAAGATGCCACCCCCATCTGTTCTCTGGAGAGAAAAGCAGGCTGTTAGGTTGCTGAATTCAACAGAGCACCCTCACTTATGATTTCACATGAGCAGTCTTTGTGGAATGGTGAAAACATTTCAACAAATGCAGTTTACATAGGAGAGAACTTTAGAGGGAGGTCACAAGGGGACACCGGGTGCTGAAGCATGACGATGGCACCAGACAGACGAAGGAACAGGAAGTACCACCACATGAAAGTGCTTCTTGGTTGTGGCATAATTAAAAGTTGGTGTCCCAAATATTGGGTCTTGCAAATATCCCTGATTTTCTGACTCCATCCATTTCAATTTTCTATATTAGAAAGTTGCCATTTGTTTTGGTTTATATTCCTGAATCAAAACTTGACCATGTGTTTCTGTCAGGTTTAAATCTAATGATACATTTTTTGCTTTAAAAAAGATTTGCAGCACAGTGTCTGCCTGGCAAGCATGAGGACGTAAGTTCAATTATTGATACCAACAAGAAATATTAATAATAATATTAGTACATGTTTCCAGGACAAGTAATGATTGCATTCATACTGAGGATTTGGTACATGTGCATAATGCATCATTTTTTATCCCCTTTCCCTTCTTTTCCCCCTGTCCTCTCTCTCTATCTCTTGGTCCCCTTCCCTTTTACAAAAGAACTATCTTCCCATTTCCTGTTATACATTATTTTTCTCTTTATTTATATCGTGGATGTCTCATATAAGAGAAACTATGCAATACTTAAGCATATGTGTCTTATTCATTGCACCTAACATTATGGTCTCAAGGTGCATTCATTTTCCTTCAATTGCCCCCAAATTTACCCTTGTTTATGTCAGAGTAATATTCCGTTATGTGTAAATACCACATTTTCTTTATTCTTTCATCTACTGATGGACATATAGAACACTTCCAAGATTTAGCTAGTATGAGTTGTGCTGCTATAAACATTGGTGTCCATAGATCACTGTAATAGGATGTCTTTAACTCTTTTAGAAGATACCTAGAAGGAGAATTGCTGGGTCAAATGGAATTTCTAGTTGTAATTTTTTGAAGACTCTCCATACGATTTCTGTAGTGGTAGTAGTAGTTTGTATTCCCACCAATAATATAGAAGTGTTCCTTTTTCCTCAAAACTTCACCAGCATTTATTATTATTTGATTTCTTGGTGATGGTCATTCTTTCTGAGGTGAGGTGAAATCTCAGTGTGGTTTTAATTTACATGTCTCTAGTGGCCAGACATCATATCCAATGATTATTATTTTAACCATTGCCAAAGCACTCTTGGAAATGGATGACTTATTTCTTACAGCATTACAGAGAAACAGGCCCTGGTAGACAGAGCTCCTCATGTGAGAGTCATGTCTATATGTGGTTTCCCCCAGAAGCAGCATTCAAAGATTAGAATGCATAGGGCTTGTTTGGAAGGAGATCTCAGGAAATTCTGGAAAAGGAATTGGGGAAGGGAAATGGAGTAAGCTGAGAAGCCAATGAAGAATGTGTTATCACCAGTTTCTACTGTGGACAACGGGAACTCAGTACCACTGGGAGAACTGAATTCACAGCAGAGGTATCCCGTCCCACGAGGGAGGTAGCTGGGGCATTTGGCCCCCGAAGTGCAGTCCATTGGTGGTGCTGGGCTGTGCCTGAGGACAGTGACTCCCTGGATATTCAGGTTTGCCTCATGCTATCGGATAGTTCCAGCTGTGTGTAGTAAAGAGCTATTAGCCCGCAGCAGTAAGTGCCCCCAGGACTGGTGGGGAGATGGCCGGTTACCATGAGTCACAACTTTGTTTGCATTTATCAGTTCTATCAACTACTTAGGTATGGGATGGCATCATGCTGATTAACTTGAACAAAGGTGTTTTAAAAGTCTCTTCTAGTACTGGGTAACCAACAGTTAAAAAAATTGGTTTAAATATCCAGAAACAAACCAGCTTTATGTCTTTGAAATAAGTGCAATGTAGTTATCACCATTTCTGAACAGGATAAAAATTGGTGTGTTGTAAGTGTATGTGTAAATTTCTACATCCCTCTAAGGGTTTAGCTTCCCTCTTTCCCTCACTTGCTTCCCACTCCCCCATAGTACTCTCTCGTGGGAGCAGTTCCTTTAATAAGCCCCTTGAAAACAAACCCTCATCTCAGGTTCTGCTCCTGGGTAGCTCAACCTAAATTACAAGATAAGGTGCCCTTTCCAAGGAATGAGTGTGTACAAGGAGTGATCAAAATATACAATGAATGTTCACATTTTTAAATATTATCACATCAAAAGACACATAGCTATTAATCCCCATAATTTTGAACATACTTATCACATCATTCTTACCAATTCCTGAGACAGTTCTGCAAGTCCTCTTAATGATTGTCTTTACAAAGTGTGATCAAAGTAGAGCGGATGAGATGCTGAGAGTCATCCAATGGAAAGAGAGGCTCATAGAAACATAGTGGCATGTCCTCAATTCACCTGATTCACCAGTTGTGACCCTGGAAGCTTCTGGCTCTTCCCCAAGGTCAATGTTTACCATGAAAGGTAAATATTTCAAATCAATTCAGAGCACTAAGGTAACCATGACCATGGAACTAACATCATTCACAATAGAGAACGTCCAGGACTGCTTCAGGAAATAACAAGAATGATGGGATGAGAATGTTTGAAGTGAGAGTATTTTGAGGAAAATTATAGGTAATGTGTCTTTTACCGTAATAATTCTTTTAAATTTAACCACACACCATTTTTGATCACACCTCCTATGCTAAATACAAAAATAACTTCAGCTGCTTCATTCCTTATTGTTGAAGAAAGTTGATTTTGCTTTTGTGTCCCTCAACCATTTCTCAGTCTGCACTGAACTGTTTTTGTGTGATGGGTCTACTCTTCTAGGTGACACAGAGGCCCAGCTCCCATAAGATGAGGTGTCTTTTCCGAATTAGCTTTGTCCCAAAGGATCCAATCGACCTGTTAAGGAGAGATCCAGTTGCTTTTGAGTATCTATATGTTCAGGTATGTGAAAAATTCATTATGTTTTAGACGAAAGTTGTAGGATAAAGTAACTTTGGCTTGGTTCCATGAATTCTTTAGTTATGAATCTTCCTTGTCTTCCATCCTAAGATCTATGGGATTTAAAACGATTATATGGTTCTTTTAGTTTTACATTTGATTTTGAAGTGTTTTAATACTTCCTAGAAGTTGCAAAAGTAGTCATTTAAACTGTCTGTCCAGATTCACCAGTTGTTAACATTTTGCCACGTGTACTTGATCTTTAGTGTGGACGTATGTTCCCTGTCTTTCCACAGAAACACACACACACAGGATTTTTTTCTAAATCACATCAAAGTTAGTTGCCACAATTATCTGTGTTTACTCTTAGATGCAGCGTGGATATTTCTAATAACAAGAACACTTTATTGCATAACCATTCTATAATTAACAAGATTAAGAAAGGACAGGAGACATAACTCAGTTGGTAGAGTACTTGTCTACCACACACAGGGCCCTGGGCTCAATCCACAGTACAGAAAAGGAAGGGAGGAAGGGAAGAATGGTGGAAAGGAGGGAGGGAGGAAGACAGGGAGGAAGGAAGGGAGGAAGGACTACAGCAAGGAAGGAATTTAACGCTGATGCATTTCTATGAGCCCAGCTGTAGTCCACACCCAATTCATTGCTATTATCCCCCCAACGTTCTTTGTTTCAATTGTTTTCTGGAACAAAATCCACCACAGGATCCCATTTTCCATTTAGTCTCTTTAGTCTTTTTAAATCTGATCTATTCCTCAGCCTTTCTTTGATTTACATGGCCTTGAGTGATTTGAGGAATACTGATTAGCTACATTGTAGACAGCTCTCCTCCATTTGGGGTTCTCTGCTGTTTTCTCATGATTAGATTGAGGTAATGCATTTTGGAGAGAACAACATGAGTGACTTTGTTTCCTCCTTAGTGCATCATATTAGGAGGCACTGATGGCACGGCATCCCGTAAAGGCAAGCCTAAATATGACTCTCAGTTAGGAAGTATCCTCCAAAGCCATCCTCTCCCAAATCACTGCTTTTTTATTCAAATGAATAAGTCATCTATGGAGACTCACTTTGCAACTGTTATCTTTATGTTCCATCACTTTCAACCACTAGCCTCAGTATATTGGTTGATGATATTTACCTAAATAAATTATTATGATGATGGTTGAAATTGTATTTAACTCCAATATTTCTTCATTTAGTAATCAGCATGACACTGCCAAAAAGTTTTGTTTCTCCTTTATTTACTTATTTATTTAGTGCTTATGTTGTTCAGAAATACTGTAAAATCCATCATACTGAAAGTAGCAATTTTCAGGTGATAAAATTTTAAGACAATAGAATCCTTTATAGATTGTCTATCTGATATTTGATTCTGAGCTATAATTTTGAGAAGTCTAAAGCTTCCAGAAGTGCGTAACTGGCACAGTGTGTCCCAAAGGAATCTGATAGAAGTTGATATTTAGGAGGTGATCTCATGTTTTCCTATAACTGTATCCTATCATTCTCATTTAACTTTCCAATGTGAACACACTGAACAGTAAGAACTCACTTATCTAATTCTTAGGCATCTAATGCTAGAACTACTCAGAGAGGTTGAAAATCTGTTTTATTTTTTCCTCTCTAAAATGTGGCAAAACAAAACAAAAAGGATGTGTTCTCTCTTCAATTTGGGCTAGCCGAAGTAATCTAACAAAGATTACTGGAGCCATGTATAAAAATATAAAGCAAAAAGTTGAGAAAAGAAAATAAAAGAAACATTTGTTAAATCTGAATAGTTGGAACACAGGTATCTATTGTATTTCAAAACTTTTGCAATCTTAAAAATTGGGGAGGAAAAGACAATAGATAAAAGATGGAGGAGAGATAGCAACAAGGTAAATATTGGATGTCCAAAAGAGCAAAATAAATTAAAGTGACAATAAGTCCTGGAAATCAAAACTGAAGTCAGTAGATAAGAGAAACAGAACAGACCAGAACATTCTAGCAAATGAGGGCCCTCAGGGTAAGGCCAAATAACTCCCTCCACCTAGGTGGTTTTTGGAAAACTGTGCTATTTACAGCTCAATAGGATAATTAATTTTCCTGAAGATAACTCTGAGTCACCCAAGTAAGTCATATCCTGTTCAGTATATACCCTGTTTGCCAAGTTAAAACATCAAAAACAAACGAACAAGCAAAGATATAGTACCTTTTCCACCCCAAATATAGAACCTGTCATATTTTGACTCTTAAATTTTAAACTTCAGCCAACTATACCCTTCACTTGTCAATAGTGTCCCCTGTTCCCGCCGTAGTCCCCCATAGGCCAGGGAAGCCTGCTGTGACTATAGGAAAAGAGCCTGATTCAGCATGTGATCTGCATTTTCCCCATATTTCTGCTGAGAATAGTACCAGGGCTTGGCAACTGAAGCTAAGACCCTGTGCTGTATTTATTATTCCTCAGCTGCAAATAAATAGATATGGGTGCCCAGGACCTAGCTGTGGACAGTGAGACACACTGAGTGGTTGTTCTCTATAATTACACACCCTCTTAAGAGCAAGAAAATGCTCTCGAACCACTTGATTGTACTTCCGTTTCAACATCCCAAGCCCATTGTATTTATAAAAGAACAACCTGGTTGTATCTGTCTGGGGTGGGAGACCTCTTAAGGAGACAAAGGGCAGCTGCTAAACCCAGATCTGTACAAGGTGTGTGTGCGCTCCATTCCAATGCAAGACGTTCTTGCTTATTTGGAAGACATGTCTTTCTACCTGGAACTGGCTGCAAAACAGGAAAACCTGTCTGGAGATCTTGCCCAGGGACTTGCAGAAAAAGACTAATGATGTTTCCACTTTCCTACCTGCGGTGTTACTGTGAGTGGTGGAATAGCTACCCCTTCAAGGGGTAGCCAGATGGAGAAATGAATAGCCATATTTGGTAGGTGATAGAGACCAAAGTGAAGCTAATGTCATTTTAGATATCCTCCACTGAGAATAGGAAATGAACATTTCTTTGCCTCAATTCCCCTCCTTGGAAGTACCTGTATCACAGAATGTGTAATGTGTCTAAAATAACATTGGTCTCATACAAGTCAACTGGTCTACAAATGGTGTCTGTGCCTATATTAAAATATTATAAGATATTTAAAAGACGCAACGAAATTAGCCTAGAGAACAGAAGACCAAGCAAAAGCCATACATATCACTTTACAAAAACAAAATCAATTTAACTTAGCATGCTCCTAATGAGTACAGTCACCATTCACTAGATCAAGCATGACAAAGAAAACAGAGATTTCAATAGCTATATCTATTAATCTCCAGTTGCTAATGGCACATGAGGTTTTTTTTTTTACAGATTTTAGCATATATATTAACAGTAAAGTCTAATAATCCAGATTATTCTAGTTCATAATATTAGTGTTGGGTTATGCTGACATTTTCCTGCCCACTATGTATTAAGAAAAAGATTGTTACATCATTTAGTAAACAAGATTTGACCTAAGAGGTTCCAAAAGGTTTTCAAACACTTTAGCAATATTGGTTTCATTTTAAACATCTAATATGTAAATTATCAATGAAATCTTTGTAGGCCTAAAGTGGAACCCTCAAAGACCTCTGTCTTACAAAACAGTGATCACCGTTCATTTGTGGACTATATTTTAAGTAACATACTTGAAAGTAATAAAAACATGATTAATACATATATATATATATATATATATATATATATATCAGATTTCACAGTAATTCTCTGAAATGAGTCTAAACTAATTATATAATGTAATTAAGTGACTAATCCCCTTGTCAAGAAATTCACCCAAAAGTCTAGTTAAATACGGGTAAAACAGGGATGAAAAAAAAATGATCCTGGCCACAACTCTTAAGAGATGTAATAGAGATGACTCATCTTTATGAAGCATATTCTGTTTTATTAAACATCTTGACAGATGCAATGTAAGGAAATATCATGTTTGGAAATATCATGGCAACTTTGCAAGTTATTTGTTAACTCTCAAATTAAAGAGTGTGCCCATTTTTTGAGCAAGAAAACCTAGGCCTAAGATATCTGAAATATCATGTCCAAATTTGTTTGATTAACAGCTGACAGCGTCTATAGTCAAACCTGGGCTTTTGTCTCTAAGTGCTGTGTGAAAAGTCTCTGTTTTATGTCCAATATGCAAGAGCAGTCATTGAAGAAAGTGATTTCTTAAAATGGTTTTTCAAACACCAGATTCTTCAAGTACCTCAGCATGGTACTGTGACAAGTGTCTTTCCCATCCCTATCTCTCCTGGGACACTATAAAGTGACTCCAGATTGTTAACTCCTTGGAGCCCATAGGAACTAACCTGAGCCCTTGGAAAAGACTGGTAAGCGCAATACTAGCGAAATAAAAGTGTGACCTGCAATGGCTTTCCAAGCAGGGCCAATGAGGCTGCCCTGACTCCTGCCCCACGATAGGTCCACCTCCAACAGAGGCACCATACACTCCAGGAAGCATTAACGTTTCACAGGGCAATAGAGGCGAAAGCCATGTTAGGAATGCATGGGGAGGACAGTGTGAGACTGCTGTGTGCAGTGATATGGGAATACAAAGTGTGCATTGCACACGGTGCCAGCGTGGCTTGCATGAAGTACACCAGGTGTGCAGAAGCCACACAGCAGTATATGTTCCCATTTTAGTACAATCAATATATGAAGTAATTATGAATGTTCATCTCTTAAAAAGGAAGCAAACACACCCTGATTTAGGCTTCCATTTGAACTGTTCTCAGGACAAGGCAAAGAAGAAAAGAAGGGCAAAAGATAGGTTATCTCAGGAGTTGGGGATGTGGCTTAGTGGTAGAAGTCTTACCTTGTATGCACAGGCTCTGGGTTTGATCCCAGCACCACCAAAAAAATCTATTCTCTTAAGACCAGGGGTGGTGGCCCATGCCAGCATGCAGGAGGCTGAGGCAAGAGCATCTCTGTGAGTTTGAGGACAACCTGGGCTACAAAGTGAGTTCAACACTGGCCTGACCTGCATAGTGAAACCCTGTCTCAAAAAAGAAAAGAGATGTATCTGTGTCTTCTCACCCAAGAGCCCACTTTTCTCATAACAAAAGTAAATACAGATGCAGAGCACCCTGAAGGGATCCTGTTCTTTCCCCAACACTGAGTTCTTTGCTTTGCTCCCAGCACCAGTGAAAACACTCCCCTAAGACCAATGGCTTGTGGCCATACGGATTAACACATTGTAACACACTGTCATTCACTCTTTAATTTGATCCTCATAACACACCCTGTGGAGTTAGGTGTTTCCGTTTTACAGATGAACAATCATACACCACCAGATAGGAAATGACCCCCCACAGAGTTACACATTTGAGGTAGCAAGCAGGGCTGCAGGCATGAAAATGAATGGGGGATTTTAATAGCTGCCCTGGCAGTGTGGACCAATGCACTGCAATAAAGCACTTGCTTGTGAATCTCATTTAATCCTCAAACCACTCCAGTGAGGTAATTCATGTGAATCCCCACTGCACAGATGAATAAACTGAGGCCACAAAGGTTCAAAGAAATGGTACCTGTACAGGTAGCCACTGGCAAAGCCAGGACTGCAGATCAATGGGGTCTAAGTCCAGATCTTCCATATCCAATTAATTGCCTTTCTGATTCTGCCTCCCTGAAGTTTCTCTGAAAGGGAGGAGAATGTTTTTCTTGATGATGGTAGTTAATATGTAAGTGTGCTTACCACTTACCAGGTACGATTCCAAGGGCTTCACATTGTGGATTCATTTAACCATCCCCGCAATCCTGTAATTAGCACTATTACATGACTTACAGAAGGGGAAACTGAGGCACTGACAAGTAAGGAACTTGCCCAAGGTCATGCCCCCACCAATAAGAATAGACAAGTTTGGAACTAAGGATTGCAACTCCGATGGCCCGACTCCAAAAGCCACATTATGTATCAGAGCTTTGCCTGCGCTGCTGCAGCACCTGTGTTTGGAAATTTCATCCCTAAATTCCTAATTATTTTTACAAAGAGCTAAATATTTAAATAACAGCTTGTCGATGAATGTTAAATGTTTTGTGTGGTCTGTGTGTTTGTGCGTGCAATTAACCACTGTCTCGGTTCCAAGCAGCACGGTGGAAGCGTTTCCACATTTAGCCTCCTTGTCTTTGAAGTGAAGGTTGAAACACACAATCCTGTCACCTGTTCCTCTAAGCGGCACCGGGTGACCCATTCTCTAACGAGCTGCGCCCTCTGCTGGTGTCTTCGCAGAGTTGTAACGATGTCGTCCAGGAGCGCTTCGGGCCAGAGCTGAAATATGACATCGCCTTGCGGCTGGCCGCCTTACAGATGTACATCGCCACTGTCACCACCAAGCAGACACAGAAAATCTCCCTCAAGTACATCGAGTAAGTGCCAAATCTTGGCGCCATTTCGGAGACAGAGGACAGAGATGCTACTTCCTAACCACCCAAGCATATCTTTGATCTTTGTCTCTATTTCCAAATCTGTTCCTGCTTAAGGCGGGTCATTTGTTAACCGGAGGCAAAAGGTATGAATGTCACATTCCTTTATGGTGGAAGAGATCCATTTCGTACATAATCCATCTTTAGAAAATTGTGGTTAAAATGAGGGTTGCATCGAAAGTGAAGTGTTTGTTAAAATTCCTAAAGGGACTTGATTGCAAGCCAAACTTTGGAATCAGCACTTTTCAAATATTAACCTGTTAAGTTCTTACAACATGCAGGATCAGTTGTGCTGAAAAGCAAACTGACACTGCTCACTGGAGGGGGCAGGATTTGAACCCGAGCAGTGGGACGCCTAGTTTTGCCAGAGTTCTCTTGATGGGTTGAGGCACCTGTGTTTGGATTGTGTCTGCATAGTGTGAGGTCACTTTTAAGTGGTCAGAACCTGGTATTAAAAGGACTGTCACATTCAGGGAGCATGGTATCATAGTCAAGGACGGGCAGTATCTGGGAAGGACACTACACATAAACTAGGCTTGCTCAACGGCCTCTTGTTCAGAAGCTATGAATGCCCTCCCATGTTGAGCAGGTCATAGAACTCCCTCTATAGACCTCTTTGGCCATGAAAGAACCTCTTGCCTTAGAGAAAAGAGTCTGTTTCAACTTCAGTTCTGAGTCTGTCCTTCAAAAGGAGCTCTCTGTCTCCCAGCAGGTGATTCATTAGCTTAAAGCAACTACTCCTTCCTCCATCCCAGAAATGATTTATCTAAGAAAAAGGAAAACATGTTTCTGAGTTCATGGCCAGGCTGAGGTCACATATCCATGTAAGGTTAAAAGCCTTGGACAGCCCCCTCTCCATTCACCTGAAGTAATATGCAGAGTAATTACCATCACACATTTCAAAGAAGCTTGCTGATGCCTGCCCATGGCACACCAGGATGCCAGGTTTACACATGGGGCAGTGGAGAAATGTTAGCTTTTGTCCACAGGCACATGAGCTCATGTTGGGGAGGTCTGGAGCTTCCGTTTGCTGACTTCAGTGTCATTGTTCTGGCAACTCTGTTCACCTGTGAATGCCCAGGGACAAGTCCTTCAGGCGCATTTGAGTCTTGGTCCATGGATGCTAGATGATTTATCTTTTTTCCCTTGCCACACATGGTCAGTGACTGTAGTCTAAGAGAGACCCAGCTCACAAAAGAGGCCTGTCACTTAGCTAGACATATTCATACCTCCTCCCAATTCCCTTTTTGAAGTTCTTAGGGACAAATGGAACTGGCTACCATTCGAGAAGGTGGCTTGCACAGCCAGAGAGGATTTCCAGATAATTAAAATGAATTTCCTTTCCTACTCTCTGTATCCACATTTCCCCAGATTGAACATGGACTCAAAAGACTCTCAACAGCCAAATGTACATCTGTAATCCCAGCACCCTGGGAGGCTGGGGCAGGAGGATCCCAAGTTTGTGCCCACCCTAGGCAATTTAGCAATGTAAGAAGACCCTGTCTCAAAAGAAGTTTTTAAAAGGCTAGAAATATAGCTCTATACAAAGACCCTGAGTTTAATCCTCAGTCACACACACACACACACACACACACACACACACACACTTACACTTCAGATTTAAGTTACTTGACTAAGAATCTTGAAGAGCCTATATTAATGTCATTAATGAATTTCTTCCTTCACCTGATAGTACTTTATGTAGCATTCACATTAGGACTGTCAAAAGTACTAATATATGTAAATATAATCTTGACCATCGAGCAATTTGTAGTCTGATTATAAAAACAAGACATAAAGATTAACAGTAGTTATTTAAAATAATGATACAGGACTCAGGGTATGTATCATTGGTAAATCCCTTGCCTAGCATGCATGAGGCCCTGAGTTCAATCCCCAGTATTACCATACATATGTACACACATCCATGCATACAAACATAAAATATACAAGTGGAACTAAAAGGCCACCCATAGAATTGCCAAATAATGGGTAAAGACAGGTGCAAGTTAAGGAGAAAGGGGGAAAAAAAAAACATGTGACCATAAAAATAACATCTTTATTAAAGAACATGGATGGTTAGATGGGGTAAGACTGTATTCTTACTCTTCTTTAGAGAGGACCTGGGGAAGAAGAAATAACTAGAATGTTCTGAAGGCCTCAGGATAGATTCCCTAAAGTTTAAATGGAACTGTCGTAGGAAAGAGTGATAGTCATTGCTGGGGAAATGAGCTCTTGGCAAAAATATATTAACTCTGGTGCATTTGTCACTTTTGCTTCTTATATATCCATTGTCATGAATGATGTTCACATCACCCTGCCAGGTGGGCTTACTTGTGCATCATGAGCTAACACCCACCAAGAAATATTATTGGAAGGAGTTTGACAGACATGCAATGACAAATTGGCTGGGACAGAAGAGCACTGGGTATTGCTAGTAGAATGGCTGCTGGTGGGCAGACAGGACAGAGAAGATAGTTTAGGCACATGACGAAACTACACTCATCCTTCTAAGAAAAGAAAATGAAACAGGACACAGGAAGACAAGGAAGTAAAAGAATGGGAATAAAGGGATGAAAATAAAATGATGTTGGAAATATAAACTTAGATACCAGAATGTATTTAAAAAACTCAGAAGTGGGTTAAAAAGATTTCTTCTATTTCCTGTGGTCCTTTTATGCCTTTTTAGAACTATTTTTGGAGAGTGAGGAACGTGGTTTTTGTTTGTGTGTTTGTTTGTTGTTGTTGATTTGTAATGCAGATATAGGATCTAATGATCAAATAGTATATTTCCTGGGTGAAAATTAAAAGTTGCTTCCCTGACTGGTCACTTATCTCCATTTCCTGCCTTACCAGCAATTCATTTCTTCCAATAAACATCACAGCGCCATTTTGTCTTAGATAATTCATCATCACAAGAATGTGAAATTAGAGATCTTCTTTCCATTGCAGGAAAGAATGGGGTTTAGAGACTTTCCTTCCCTCTGCTGTGCTGCAAAGCATGAAGGAGAAGAACATCAAGAAAGCACTTTCACACCTTGTCAAAGCAAATCAAAACTTGGTACCACCGGGTAAAAAGGTATCACATTTGCATTTTAATAGAAAATAGATTTTTAAATGTTTAAAATTAGCCCGTGAATAAAATACTTCGCACCATATTTTCAGAAGGCAGTAACATTGTATAACTTGTAAGAACTATTAACATATGGCTAAGTCTAATGAAAACCAAGTATTCTTGTGGACACTTGTTTCTTTCTCACAAGTCGTAGACTGCTCCTTATCGTATGGTATGGGTGTGGTCACGTGCCCACAGCAGAACCTTGTGTGGCTCCTGAGACTTCATGATTAGAGGGTAGAATTGCAAGATAATTCTATATTTCCCTTGCATTCTTGCTTACCACTTAGACTATCTTACATGCCCAACAGCTAGCAAGGAACCCTGCAGGCCAGATGCTTTGTTAATTAAACCAAGATTTCTGTAATGTGTCACTTTTGCCATTTGGTAACAGATCCTTCTTTGCTGATGGCCTTGGGAGCTCCCCTGGGCATTGTAGTGATATATAGCATCACTTCTGGTCTTTACCTAACAGAGGCTAGTAGCACCCTTCCCCTAAATATGATAAATGAAAATGTCTCCAGACATTGCCAAATGTTCCCTAGGGTACAAAATCACCCCAAGTGACAACTATTAGATTAAATCCTACTTGGGGAAGGAAGATAAAATTATTTCTGTCACTCAGTGTCACCATTGAAATCTGTTTTTGTTTTCATTAAGTACACAAAGAAAATTTCAAAATATACAGTTTGTCAGAAAAGAAAGGTATAATCTATACATGATAAGAAGCAAAAGAGTCCAGTAACCCAAAGGCTTAAATTACTGGGACTATACAGTAGGAAGCAGTCTAAAATCCCAAGAACATTTTCCAAATGATATTGGCTATAGAAACTTATGTGAGTGTGATTCATAAAAGTCACTCTCCACATGGAGAGACTTTAGGTCTTAGTATCAGGTTTGAAGTCAAAGTTAATGGCTGATGCACTTACTCCTATTCCTCCCTCACCTCATAACTTTTTAAAAATATAAATGGGCTAAACCCATTCTTAGCTATGTGCAAAGTACTTCCCCCCAATTGATGTTTTTAAAATTTCAATCAGATTTGCCCAAAGCTAATTTCTATTAATTAACTTAATGTGATTTTTTTTCCAAGCCTGGCCCAATGGTCTGGTAGTACTTTGGTAACTAGTATTGGTTCTATCTTTCTAAATTCTATCATCTTTCTTTCTATCTATCTGTCTATCTATCTATCTATCTATCTATCTATCACTATCCTCCTATAAGGCCACTTCTCCTAGTCAAGAGTGCTGCTTGCTTTCAACACAATTTGCAAATTATTCTTTGAAAGAAGTAAGCTGAACAAATGGTGCTAAATAACAATTATGTTAAGGGCAGTCCCCTCAGGTCTGGTTAACAAATGAATTGGCAAGCCCTGAGTGATTAGAAGCAGAAATTTTTAGTCATTGCAACTTAATGGTAATCTGTACCTTGTTGGAAAATTTCACCTTTAATAAATATTCCTGCCACATTCGGTATGAAACATGGACATGTTTTTAATCAGATACCATTCTTTAAGCGATGTGGGAGCCTACTCTGTTAAGTCTTTATAAAGATTAATTTTGTCTGTATGAAATTTCATTTGTAATTCATTCATGAAACAACAGATTCTCTGAGTGGAAAAAAAAAAGCCAGGACTTGCTGTTCAAACATTTCCATAATGGTTTGAGCTCAGAAAGTTCATTTTTCCCTGAAAACTTGCAAAGGCTGGAAGAAGCTTGAGAGAGGCAGTGAAGAAGCCTCTGCATGGATTTCAGGTGTGTGCTCAAAGCAGCTCCCTCACGCCCCCATGCAAGTGGACTCCTGCTGTGGGAGACTGCGCACCCAACCCACCTTTGTTCCACAATCAGAAAGCACCACTCACTTCTTGAAACGTTCCAATGGGCAGATGTTTTCATGATCCATTTTATCAGTTTGTTCACATTTATCCAGTCCCCTGGCCTACAGATCTGTGCTTGTGAGTGCCCCCATATTTCTTCCAGTTTAGGTAAGCTAATGAATCATGCTGTCACACTGCTATCCATCATCAGGAAACCAAATATGTAGCTATTTCCTTCCCTTGCCGATAGAGAGTCTAATGCATCTTCCACCTCCCCAGTATAAAGTTGTCCTTTCAACTTGCCTTTGTGGCCAGCTGGTCTCCAGCTGGAAGGGAGTCACACCCAAAAGAGTCAACACTTAAGCTTTTCTTTCTCTCCTCAGCTCTCTGCACTTCAGGCCAAGGTCCACTATCTCAAGTTCCTCAGCGACCTGCGACTCTATGGGGGCCGTGTGTTCAAGGCAACGTTAGTGGTAATTTCTTTTCCCTTGCTCTTTTGCAGAAGCCACGGGGGTCTCCTCAGTATCACCGTTTTGAAAGAGCTGGTTCTGACAACCAAATGCCATCACCTGTGAATGTTTTCCAGCCTTCATTTTAATCAGCTTCACCACAGCCTGAAAATGGCTGAAGAAATGTTAAGCTAGATAAGGCCAAGTGCAGACTGCCCTAGGAAAGGAAATGTGAAGCAACAAGAGTACCAGGGGATTCTAATAATGGCTGCCTTGTCAGTCACTGAGCTAGAAGTTGCTTTTGTGCAAGACGGGTGAGAGAGACAGACAGACAGACAGAGACAGAGAGAGCCACAAACTTACTTTGTAAAAGCTCCTTATGGCTATGAATACATTGTATTATAACATTTGCTTTGTGCATTGTTCATAATTTATCAGCTCCTCAATGTAATCATGTATCTGGTTCTTCCAATTGGATGATTTAGTACAATGTGACCCAGAAAATCTTTCTAAAGGCAATGGAATCATAAAAACAGGCTCTCAGGCTCGACTTTGCATGGTGCTCCACAAGTCTGGGTTTAAAAACACTTTGTCAACATCTCTTTCCCAGCAGGCAGAAAAACGCTCAGAAGTGACTCTTCTAGTTGGGCCCCGGTATGGCATAAGCCATGTCATAAACACCAAAACCAACCTGGTGGCTCTTTTAGCTGACTTCAGCCATGTCAACAGGATCGAAATGTTTACTGAAGAGGAGAATTTGGTGAGGGTGGAACTCCACGTACTAGATGTGAAGGTAAGCCTTTCAGATGCTCACCTTTGCAGGCCTTTGTTTGAACAGCCTGTTTCTGCTGAAACTGTTAGTATTTACAGAGCAGGCAAAAGTTAATGTGTGCAGAGACTTGAGGATACCATGCAGTGCAGGAAAATTTTACTAATTCCACCAGGTTCCTTGCTCGATAGCTGCATGATTTGGGAACAAGCTGCTGTACTTCTCTGGGTTCAGTTTCTTCCTCATGAGAAAGCAAGCCACATCATATCCAGGTCCCTTCTGAGTTTAGAATTCTGAGTCATAGGGAGTAGGGAGCATTCTTCCCAACTAACTTTCTAGAATCTATGACTCATTTAGAGAGTGAGGTTTTTTTTTTCCTCCAACTTTCTTTAGATTTCCCAATCTCTTTAGTTAGATTGGGTCCATATGTGGTTATTCTTTTGGAAAATCTAGATATTTTACTTAGTAGCAATTGGTACGGACTAAATATCTGGCCCCTGGGTATGTCCTGGCTGTTCCATTTAAAACAGCGATCTGAGATTATCCTCAAATGGCTAAGCACAACTCCCAAAATAGAAATTGACAGAAATAGTACAGACCTCCCAACCCCCACTTCTTTTCTTAGTAAAGATGAGTCATTGGATTTGAGCTATGTTGATATATATGATGATTTAATGGAGAAAATACAGGAGACCTGAAAGGCAACTGTGCCTCCACCAACCAGGAGGAGTATACTAGTCAGATAGGACCCAGCCCTGCATCCACTCCCACCGGGGTGGTGTGGGAGAAGTGAACTAAGAGTAACTGAGACTGTGGGCAAGGGTTTTTGCAAAGCAAATCAGAACAGGATGAAATAGATGATCAAGAAAGGGAGAGCAAATAATCTGATTTAGTTGTGGCCTGTGGGATTCCATGAGCCAAATGAAGGAGACTGCAGTTGACTTCAAAGGAAAACTCAAAAGTGTACATAGACTTGGAGTGCCTATCCTAGCCTTCGATCAAGGATGCTGACAGAAATAGTTCCATCATAGGAAAAGGGTAGAAGAAAGCATGAACTGGATGTAGCTGTAGCCATTACAGCACTAATACCAGTGATATGAATCCCGAGCAGGAGTGAGTGATGAGACCCACTCGCAAGACTAAGAGTCTCCTGCCTATTGAATATGAGAGCTGGTTGGGAGGCTGAGGAGAGACCTTATTTGAAGTGGAAAGAAGGAACTTTAGATGGAAAGTTCTTTGCCACCAAAGAGGGACATCAAACCTGGCCAGTGTCCTACTCCTGGAAGTGGAAATAGAGACATTGTCTCACTGTCTTTGCCCCTTTTAGTGTCTGCTTTTTCCTGCTCCCTATTTGTCTCCTCTCTCTCTCTCTCTCTCTCTCTCTCTCTCTCTCTCTCTCTCTTTCAACAGAATGCAGCTTTCCTAACTCCCTGAGAAAAACTTCCTTCCCTATATTCCCAAGATACATATACAATAATATGACTTCAGGGCTTCCAGAAAATTCTAGCCCTTTTCCAACACTCAACTCTAGTTTACCTTCCTATAAAGTTATAGTTTCTTTTAGAAGCATGTCTTTGACATTTCTAATCCAGTCTTAGAAAAATTTTCCACTTGACTTTTACTTAACTTTAACACTAATTTTCACTGTGAGCCCCAAACTTAATCTTCCTGTGATTTTTCACATTGTGTGTTTGCTCCCAGTAATGAAAGTACCTTGTGACTTAACTTTTTAAAATGTTAATGATATGGGGGCAAAACCCAGTATTTTTTTGTTTTGATTTTAGTCTGATCGGGAAGAGATCTTTAGATCCTGGCTTTTTAAGACTCCTACATGTTTCTCAACGAAATGCTTTACCTCAAATTTTCTTGCCCTTTGTAGTTCTCCACTGGCATCTTTGTTCACTAACTTCTTTTGATTGTGTTTATAAGCATACAAGCAGCTGTTGACACTCAATAGTGGCTCCTAACAAAGGACAGCTTTAACCAAAACAACTTTTTTTCCTGCAGCCCATCACACTTCTGATGGAATCATCTGATGCCATGAACCTAGCCTGCCTAACTGCTGGGTACTACAGGCTTCTTGTCGATTCCAGGAGGTCTATATTTAACATGGCCAACAAGAAAAATGCAGGCACCCAGGACACAGGTATTTTCTTTCTAAAGAGGTACTGACCTCTTCACCACCACCACATTCAGTTCTCACCTAACAACAATAAGAAATATGCGCCTTAACAAGTTAAAATTTTACCCATATAAACCGTAATATCCAAATGAAACAGAAAAGCCTTCAAATTCTGAAGATATTGTTGAATTGTGAAAAATGAATTTGCCGATTTCCCATCATACTTGGCATGTCACTTGGAAATGTCGACCACTTCCTTCAAAGGCCATGATTTTATTATTTATGGCTATGTTTGTATTGACTTGCTATTACATAGGACATACAGAACTGATGACAGAATACCCAGCTAAAGATTATAAGATTATTGGCCAAGGTTAATGATGTCACCCATGTACTCTTTCTACCATTAGATCAATATTACCTAAGCAGCTGTACTTGTGATCTTATTGGTTGATCATAATTTTGACTCATGTTGTGCCTGCCTCATAATTTTGCTCTATAAAACTTCCTTTAAGAGGTGAGCTCTTTGGAAACCCATTTGAAACTCCTCCAGGCTCTCGAGACCTATTCCTGTTCCCTGTTCTCCCATTCGTGTTCCCCATTCCTTTTCTCCAATAAATTTTCCTACTATTAAAAAAAGATTATGAGCTTCTTGCTATAGGGCTGTGCCTTCCTTAAGATGTCCTAGGTCCAAATGGCTGGGCAGCCTCCTTCCTAAAGTCAAACTTAACCACGGTTAAGTGTTATGGTTTTACCAACAAGAAGAAGTGGGTATTTATCCAGCACTTGGACTTGGGAGATCTAGAAGAATGTTCTTCTGCATAGGCAGCCATCTTGAATCCATAATGGGAGCATCAAGATGGTAATGATAACAAATAATTCAATCTAGCCACTTGACAAGACACAGTCCCCACCCCCATGAGGAAAAGAATGGATGAAGATGTTAGATTGTTTTTTTTTTCCCTTCAGGGCTAGTAGTTTTCATTTGTTTAAGGACTTTTTTAATATTTGAGCATTTTCCCACATCTACAATGAGTGTGGGAAGTGTAAGTGTGGTTGATACCACCATTCAGTAGAAAGCCACTGTTCCATGAACAATGCTACTCAGGAATTCAATAATTACACTCCTTTAAGAAGAAAGGGGATTCTTAAGAACAAATTCAGTGTCATTGAAAGAAAGAGAGAAGGTGAAAAAAGAAGACAGTTTTTAAACTGAGAAGAAAGCTTAAATCTTATTCTATAAATATATTGTATCAAGTTGATGCACACAGACTCACATAGTTTATGACAGTGGCTGGTTAAGTGGGAGCAATTATAGTTATAGACAAAAAAGACAGACAGACAGGGGAGGGAGGAAGGGGAGAGAGAGAGAGAGAGAGAGAGAGAGAGAGAGAGAGAGAGAGAGAGAAAGAGAATGCTAGAAGGCAACTTTGACTTTCCAGTCAGATAAATCTAAGATTTCAATTCATCCCCTCCTCCAGGTGCATGAGGTTTTAAGGTTTCTAAGTTTGGCTTTCTTCATTAGTATAAGGGATTGAAAGCTCAGTTTCCAGGGTAAATGTTAGAAACAAATCTATGCACAGCACCTACAACAATGCTCAGTACTTCTGTTAATAGTTGGCAGTGAAAAAAATTGATGAGAAAAATTGAGAGTAAAGTGGTAGAAATGCAGAAGGAAGAGAAAGGCAAAACAGGAGGCAAAGATGTTCCCCAAGGGATGCAGATGCTTGAAGGTAATTAGAGAACAGGACTGAACAAGGAGAAGATGCTAAGTAGACACATGGTTTGGTGGGGAACACTTTTATGACCACCTGTTTTCATTGAGAGGAGATTCAGAGCAATTCAGCAATGACCTTCGGAGTTCCAGAGAGCAGCGCAGCCATTTAACACAATCCTTTCACATTGGAAAGCCAGGCCTGGGCTTTTTATTTTCAAATCTTCAAGTTTATTTTGAAAATAAAACTTTTTCCCCGTGGGGTGTTAAAACTGTACCAGTACAAGCAGAAAAAGAAACCTGCCATCTTAAAATGGTTAGAGTAATAGGGGTCTCAGTTCTGTCCAAGTTGTAGTGATTGACAATGTAATATTTAGTAAAACTAAGAGGCAAACCTTAGTTAAAAATAAGTGTTATTATGGAGGTAGGCAGAGTGGAACTTTAGTCTCAGTTATCCCAGTTCCACAGCAAGCACGAAGGTGAAAGTATGTGCTCCAAATACCTGTCTCCACTCTGAAAGACAGTGGGGTGGACAGGGCGAAATAGAGCACACCCACTAAATGAACAGGAAGACCTCGGCTGCGCAGCAGTTTGGTTGTTAACTTCCTGTAATGGCTGCACACACGCTCTCCTCTTTAGAAACTGCCAAAATATCTCCTAAGGCATGAGAAATGTCAAAAGTAAAGTCCTCTAAGTCCAGTTCATGCCTAGTCCACTGGAGACTGAGCCACAGAACAGATCTCATTTTGCCCTCAAGATCCTTCTGCATATCCAGAATCATTCTAAGGAGCCAAGCAGCATAACCTCCTCAAAAGAAGCCAAAACTGAGCACATATTTTCTTTTCATCTCAAATTGAGACACAGTTTGGTCAAGATCTTTAATAAAGAACTCTAAGCCTCCATTCTCCACCCCCATCTTGAATATTTGCCTTCACTTTAAAAATCCCTCATACCATGTGTCTATAGATCTCTGAGCTTTAGCAAGGGTCTGGATAAGTTATCATTGACTTGTAGCCTCCCAGGCTATTCTGTTTTCTTGTTGTGCAAAGCCAGAAGTTGACAAACTAAAGCTAATGGACTGAATCTTATTCCTATTCATAAGGCTTATTGGACACTCTCTGGACTCCTTTCCTGGAACTACTGTACAGAATTACCACAAACTCAGAAGCTTAAAATAACAGAAATAGACTCTCTCCCAATTCTGGAGGCCAGAAGTCCAAAGTCAAGGAAAACATAGGGTTGTGCTCCATCCTAAGCATCTAACATTTTTTTTGGAAACAGGTTCTCTCTATGCAGTTCAGGCTGGCCTTGGGCTCACTTTGTAGCCTAGGCTGGTCTCGAACTCACAACGATCCTCCTGCCTCAGCCTCTGGAATTCTGGGATTACAAGCAAGAGCCACCACACCCAGCTGATCCTAAGCGCCTACAGGAAGGACCTTCCCTGCTTTTCCTGTTGTCAGGGGCTGTCAGCACTCTTGGCGGCTGATATGTCTCCAGCCTTTACTTTTGCCTCAACTCTGTGGACCCGTGTCTCCTTCTGCCTTTCTCTTGTCATTGAATTTAAAGTTCACACAGATAAGTCAGGGTGATCTCATCACAAGATCCATAACTGAATCAAGTCTGCACATTTTCCCCCAAATACAATCACATCTCCAATAGGAGTACACTCACAGAGGAGAAACATCTTTGGAGAACTATTATCCAGTCCACATACCCATTTGTTTATGGATCATATATGGCAACTTTCATGTTATAACAGCAGAGTTAAGTAGTCACTCTACTAAACTGACCCACAAAACTTAAAATATTCACTAGCTGGCCCACCTATTATGATAATATCTCTCAACCCCAGTCTAAACCTAAGCAGTACAACTCTATGGAACCACTGCCCCTCCTAAAATGAATCTACCTCTCGCACAGCTAACATATATATAGAACTCATCATGACCTAAATTCTTGTTAACAAAACAATGTTGAACTCTACAGAGTATACGAAGTATAAAGTTAGAGGTAAATATGGTCAGTGTTAACTCAGTGTCTTTCAAAATGATGCCATTTACTTGCTCTTTATGAAAATATGTGTTTTGTAAAATGGCACTGGACATTGTTTAACATTAAGTCCACTGTATAATTTGGGAGGAGCAAACCCCGCGTTGGTAAAACTGATTTTCTTTTCCGCATGTCTTGTACATCTGATGTCAGTATTATTCAAACTTGTGCCAGGGGACAATTTGAGGGAACAGATGGAAGAATGTTAGGGCCCTAAATTTTCTTCATAATGTTGCCTCCAGAATCCACAAAGCAATATTGACAGAATGACCCAGTTTTGTGCTTGTTAAATATCAGAGCAAATCTCCACATGAAAATTCCATATTAAAAGAAGAACAAACAAAACATTAGTATTTAAATTAGAACTGTGCAATTTTCATTCCTGAGGAACATCAAACAAATCTTTATTAGTTCCTGTGATACAAAAAAAATTGAAATTAGAAAATAACTTGAAACTAGTCTAAATATTAATTATGCCCAGAAATAACAGAGACATATATAACCTGTGAATATTCTTCCTTATGCATCATATACACAGATACACATACATACACGTAGGCATCCTGACATTTCTACATCATTGTATTACGCTCACTTGGATATAAATAGGCTAAAGATAGAGGTACAATATTTATTTTACGTTCCTAAGGGATGTGGTAAAAGTATGAACACCCTTGACCTTCTCTTAGCTCAGTGACAAAAATGTTCAACATCTTCCCCCACTAAGAGGGGAGTGTTAGATCTCACTTGGAAAGAAAAGGGCAGTTTATTTTCCAGAGTAACAGCCTGTTGGACTATCATCTTTAAAGATTATGAAAAGATGTGTTGTTTATTTACATTTATACATATAAATGGAATCTCCTAATCATGGAACCAAGGGTCAAAGGGAATTAAACTACAATTCTCTACTGCCTGATGATATTCAATTATATTTTATGTAGTATCGATTTTATTAAGAGCAATTTTACTAACCAAGGAGCCTACATCAACTGCTACCATATAGGAAAACCAAACAGTTGTATTTGCACAAGTGATGCTACAAGCCATTAAATTAGGAAACACAGATAAGTCTCCCGCGCCTCTGAAATCACATATTCTAGTAATGTGTCTTTTTGCATGATTATTTCTCTTTAGGAACTGAAAATAAAGGAAAGAATAACCTCCTTGGCCCAGAGTGGAACTGCATGCCCCAGATGACCACTTTCATTGGCGAGGGGGAGCAGGAAGCCCAGATAACGTACATAGATTCAAAACAGAAGACAGTGGAGATTCCAGAAAGCACCATGTGTCCAAAAGAGCACCGGCACTTGTATATGGACACTACCTATAATTCTGATGGGCTGAACCAGCAGCTGACCCAACCTGGGAATGCCCCCTGTGAGGCAGACTATAGAAGTCTAGCCCAGCGGTCCCTATTGACCCTCTCAGGACCAGAAACTCTGAAGAAAGCACAGGAATCTCCACGAGGAGCTAAAGTGTCCTTTATTTTTGGAGATCTTGCCTTGGATGATGGTATGAGTCCCCCCACTCTGGGCTATGAAAGACTGTTAGATGAGAGTCCAGAAGTGCTTGCAAAGCAAAGGAACCTATATATCAGCAGTGCCAATGACATGAAGAACCTGGATCTCGCTCCCGACACTGAGAATATCCAGTTTGTTGCAAATTCTGTTTACGCCAACATAGGTGATGTGAAGAACTTTGAGGCCCCTGAGGGGATAGAGGAGCCTCTCTTACATGACATCTGTTATGCAGAAAACACCGACGACGCAGAGGACGAGGATGAGGTGAGCTGTGAGGAGGACCTCGTAGTGAGTGAAATGAACCAGCCAGCCATCCTCGACCTGTCAGGGTCAAGTGACGACATCATTGACCTGACATCCCTGCCCCCTCCAGAAGGTGATGACAATGAGGATGACTTCCTGCTACGGTCCTTGAACATGGCCATCGCTGCCCCACCACCTGGCTTTAGGGACAGTTCAGATGAGGAGGACACTCAGAGCCAGGCAGCTTCCTTCCATGAGGATAAGGAACAAGGTGGCAACCCGCAAAGCGATGAGATCCCCGTGTCCCTCATTGATGCTGTGCCCACCAGTGCAGAAGGCAAGTGTGAGAAGGGGCTAGACAACGCTGTCGTCTCCACGCTGGAAGCTTTAGAAGCTCTGTCCGTGTCAGAAGAGCAACAGACCAGTGACAATTCAGGTTCTTTCACGATTGTTACATTTATTCACTAATAGCCATGTCGTTTCGTCTTTGCAACCCATTTGTCCTCGGAGTCCTGTTCTGTGGTGTTCTCCATTTCACGCATGTCCCATTTCATAAATATGTTGAACTAACATCATGCATTTTTTTTGCATATTTCATTTCTTTTGTTGTTATTTTTTAATATATGGCACATCTCTGTCCCCCATTTCTGGAACAACTGTGTAATAAACTCAGAGTCCTTACTAAAAAGGGAAAAACTTACTTTGTTTTGCTTTGTTTTGTTTAATACTGATGATTCCCATTTCTTTACGTGTCTCAAGTGCCTCTGATGTATCCATTAATTGCTTCTTGTTCTTTACGGCATGCAGGTGTAGCCATCTTGCGAGCTTATAGTCCTGAGTCCTCGTCGGACTCGGGCAATGAAACTAACTCCTCTGAAATGACTGAGAGTTCTGAACTGGCCGCAGCACAAAAGCAGTCAGAAAGCCTCTCCCGCATGCTCTTGGCCACTCACGAAGGCTACCATCCTCTTGCAGAAGAGCAGACAGAGTTCCCCGCCTCCAAAGCCCCCTCAGGGGCCTTGCCTCCCAAGTCCTCATCCCATGGCCTGGCTGCTCGCCCAGCACCCGATCTCCCACCCAAAGTTGTGCCTTCCAAGCAGATGCTTCACTCAGACCACATGGAAATGGAGCCGGAAACCATGGAGACCAAGTCGGTCACTGACTATTTTAGCAAAGTGCACATGGGGTCAGTGGCATACTCTTGCACCAGCAAAAGGAAAAGCAAGCTGCCTGAGGGGGAGGGGAAAGCTGCCTCAAGTGGGAACATCCCCATCCCAGGGAAAAAACACCAAGGAACCAAAACGGCAGAGATGGAAGAGGAAGCCAAAGGAAAATTTGGCACTGTGTCTTCCAGGGACAGTCAGCACCTCGGCACGTTTAACCTGGAGAGAACTGCCTTTCGCAAGGACAGCCAAAGATGGTATGTGGCCAGTGAAGGTGGGGGGGCAGAGAAAAGTGGCTTGGAGGCAGCAAGCGGGAAAGCCTTCCCCAGACCTCCTGGGCTTGGGGCCAGGGAGACTGAAGGGCAGGAGGAAGGGGCTCTGGATGGAGAAGCCGGCACTGTGTCAGGACTTGGCCAAGGGGACCGCTTCTTAACAGATGTGTCCTGCATGTCTTCAGCCAAAGACTTAGACAACCCTGAGGACACTGACTCGCCCACTTGTGACCATGCCTCCAAGCTTCCAGAGGCAGAAGAGAGTGTGGCCCACCTTTGTGACTACCATTTGGCCAAGCGGATGTCATCATTGCAGAGTGAGGGGCACTTTTCTCTACAGAGCTCTCAAGGCTCTTCAGTGGACACAGGCTGTGCCCCAGGCAGCAGCAGCAGCGCCTGTGCCACTCCTGTGGAGTCGCCTCTCTGCCCCTCCATGGGGAAGCACTTGATTCCAGATGCTTCTGGGAAAGGCATGAGTTACATTCCTTCAGAGGAGAGAGCCTCAGGCCTCGCCAGCCATGGAACCACCTTTAAGGAACTGCACCCACAGACAGAAGGAATGTGTCCGCGGATGACAGTGCCAGCTCTGCACACAGCCATTAATGCCGACCCCCTGTTTGGCACTTTGAGAGATGGATGTCATCGACTCCCCAAGATTAAGGAAACCACAGGTACAGCAATGATAGATTTATCTCTTTGCATCACACACCAGGAGCATGTGTTCACTACAGATCTCAACATATAAAGTCCAAAGGAAAAGTAAATTGTAGGGTGGGGAAGGACAGCAAAGTGCTAAGTAGCAACTATGATGAGGCCCAGGTAATAAAGAGTGAAGTTTCTAGGTCTGCAGCAATGGTGAAAATGGCGTTTGCTCTTTACAGTCTTTCTGTGCTCTTGCTTTTAGCATTTGATGGTGCAATCTTATTTTTTTTCTAAATTCCAAATGAGACTTTTAGGAAGCTTAGTGTTATTTTTAGTTAGAAAATAGTATTGCTTGGGGTCAAATAACAATTTGATTTTCTCCCCAAGATGTGTCATTTCTAGTTTTGTTAGCTTATTGTTGAGAGCCAGGGGAGGCTAATAGAGCAGAGTACTCATAGTAGGGAGACTGGATGGGTGGGGAGAGTCCAGTCTTACAGATTGCGCCTTTCTCTAAGTGACTCCTATAAAGAATATCCTGCCATGTGGGGCGTACCTCAGTGTCAGAAAGTTTCAGGAGGTGTGCATGGTGAGCTACTGTATTTCCTCCAAAATAATGAAATCTAAACACAAATAGGAACAAGAACTCAGCCACTTTCCATACCTGTGTCCACAGTTCAAAGATCACTGAACACATGTCACTCTCACCAGTCCACTGGAAAACCCGTCACGTGAGAACAGCCAGTGCTCCTTCATGCTTTCAGATTAATGGATGTCAGTGACATCTTATATTGGTTAATTTCCATTTCTGCCCTTTAAAAAATTCTTTAAAAATCTCAAAGATTTTCTGTTTTTCCACAACTCACTATTGGCTTTGCCTGCCTTGGGAAGGCTGTCTGTGAACTGATACCTAACTTGTCAGCCTACTCATTTTTTCCCTTGAAATTAATTAAAACCATTATTAAGTAAATTGTTCCACTTTTTAGAGGTACCAAAGTCAGGATTAACCCTTGAAATGAAATTTAAATATCTTAAACATGCTGGAATAATGCATACATAGCATATATATTTTCTGACTATGTGTCTAAACTTTGGTGAGTAAATACTGGGAACAAGGCAATTCATTGTCTCTCCCCATAAAACACTTGTGATTTCTAGATGATTCCAAGTGAGTAAGTGCAGCAGTTCCAGAAATAACAGATTCCAGTATTCCTTGCCATTCATTGAAATGGAAATCGGATATGAGCTGTCAGGAGGCAGTCTTTGGAAACTAGGGTGTCCCTGACACATGGCAGCCCTTCTACAATATGTCTTTGAAAAGTGACAGGCATCACCTAGAGATGGAGTGAAAATGGCCACCCTGGAGATGCTTAATGAATCTCTCTGTTTTTCTACTACCCCTAGTGTAGCTTTGACAGAGCCTGGGAAGGAGAGACAAGGAGGAATGCCTTCAGCTTGGTCTCAATATCCTGAAGCCGATCCCATTCTGCTACCATCAAACATTCACTCGGAATCAAAGGTGCCAATTCCAAATCAAGACCCTAATGATTTGTCCCAAGCAAACCAGGCATATGGAGAGGCTGTGAGCTGGCGGCCACCAGATCTCAGAGGGGGGAGCCTCAGGACACCCCCCAGCCAGAGGGCTCTCAGACATAGCAGCAGTGTCTTCACAGGATCCGTAGATTTGGAGACCTTCCGAGAGAGAACCAAGGGTTCAGTCAGCCTGAAGTGTCCGGGTATCACAGAAGCACAGGAGGCCACTTGGGAGAGGCGAGCGGAACTCCCACTGGGGAAGAAACTCACCAAGAGTGTTTCCCAAAGCTCCATGCACTTTAGTTCTGAGGGGAAGTTCCACAAAAGGTCCCCAGTGGCTCATAAAGACTCAAAGCTCTATAGGACATTACCCTTGCGGAAGCTGGAGGGTAGCAATTGGAGGTGCCGAGGACCTTTCAGCTACTGTTTCCTGAACCGGGGACATGAAGAAGATTGTGATGAGGATGAAGAAGAGGGAGAGGCCACTCTCCAGGTCTCTTGCCTCTATCGGCCACAGATGACTCAAGCCATGTCGCAACCAACGAGCCCATCGCTGGTTGTTGGGATTCAGAAGCAGGGAACGGAGCTATCCAAAGGGTCACTGCTGAAGGTCTGGGAAGAAGACCTGAATGGCCCAGATGACTTGGACTTCAGCAATCTGGCTTTTGATGCCCGGATTGCAAGAATAAATATCCTAAAGGAGAGCACATATGTAATGCCCGATGGGTTCCTCGAAGCCCAAAATGATGCCAACGAGCTGCTCTGCCTCATCAGGGCAACCAGGGGGAAGAGAGAGGAGTCACGGCCCGAAGCATATGACCTTACACTTTCTCAGTACAAGCAGCTGTTGTCCATTGAGTCCAGACAGTTGGGAAGTGCCTGTAGGAAGATGGCGCTGGCCGAGAAAAGTGCAGAGGAGATGCTCCTGGCTATGACCTCCAGCTTCCAAGTGCTCTGTTGCCTAACAGAAGCTTGCATGCGACTAGTGAAAGTTGTGAACTCGGAAACACAGCGGCAGGAAATTGTAGCGAAGATTGACCAAGTGGTCATTAACTACATTTGCCTCCTGAAAGCTGCTGAGGCAGCCACTGGGAAGACCACTGGGGATCCTAATGTTGGACTCTCGACGCGACATTCAACCACCATGGCCGCTCTCGTAAGCACACTAACACGTTCTCTCAAGATGCTTTTAAATAAATAAATCAAAATGAAAAGTCACGTCATAATCTACCTTTGCAAAGCCATACATGAACTTTTATTTACTTTCTGTGTACGATGAACAGATGTCTCCTTTCTTCTCTCTGTATATTTTGTTATTTTATATAAAATAGGAGATAAAAGTTACATTGACGAAATGTTGAAATGTCCTAATCAGATGTATTCTGTTTATATTATACAAATATATACATGTAAAAGGATATACAAGAAAGTGATGACATTTGGCTATTTTTCATATAGTCAAAACTCCAAGTGTATGATATGAAATTTTAAATTTTACTGTGTTAGAGCAAAACAATCAATCCTATCCCCTCTCCTTCCAAGCAGATACTTGGAGAAGATATTATTCATATTTAGAAGTAAAAACCAAAAGAAAAAAATAGAGATCACAATGTATATAAAACAGTATTTATGTTTTAAAATTAAGATTTTTAAGCATTGGAAATAGCAAAAAGACATTTAAAATTCAAGAAGCTATTATGAATTACTAGAGAATATATATGTAATAAATTAATTTTTTGCTCATAGTGTTTGGTTATTGGATGCTTTCTTCCAAGAATCACACATATTTAATTTTGGTTTATGTTATTTGGGCCACAGATGGGTGGGGGGAGTGGATTCTACTGTGTCCACGCAAATGCTCTTCACAGTATCCCTGGAATTAAAAAGCTTTCCAAACCAAGAACAGAGGGAATGCTGGGCATTTTCCTAGGTAATACCTAAGGTTATGACTAGCCTAATTACATAAAGTGAATAGAATTGATAATACCAAAATTAAATGATTTGATAAAAAAAGAAATCTGTTTTAACTAAATGTCAAAAATACATAAACCAAAGACATTATCTTCTCCCCACCCCAACTCAGTCATGAAGCCTAAAATTTCCTATAGAGTCTCAGAACATTTAGTGGCATATTTGCAAAATTACAAAAACAAGGAACATTGAATGATTAAGAAAAGTAAGCAGAGACCCAGTAATGTTGACCAGCTGTGGACCAGCACCAAGGAGGGAAGTCCTGCGCCACTCTTAGTGGGGCTTCATGCAGCACCTTCTCCAAGAACCAAGAGCTGCTGACCAAACTTGGAATTACAGCCTAATAGCAGGACAAGATTTCAAATCTGGAATATTCCAGAAAATCAAGAAGAGATGGCTACTCTAATAGTACAGGCCATGATTAAATATAGTATTTCTTAAATAAGCACTTAATCTGGATTTGCAGATACAAATATGAAATCTGGAGGGAAAACACCCAACAACAGTGAATTTGACCATTTCTGGTGAAATCAATGGGCTGCAAAATTTTCAGAAGTGCCATCTCTCTAAAGACGTTTTGTTTGACTTTGGGTCAAAACAAAAGGATGCAAACTCTGCAATTATGAAATAAATTTGATATGTACATATGTATTTCCTAGGTCATTCAGTGTTCAGCTGTACAGACTCCAATTTGTGTAGGTGGCTCCTCAGAATATGACAGTAGTGTACCAAGTACAATTTATTTCCATTTTTGTAGCCTACTGCCAGGAGACATCACACAGTCCACAGTTGTTAACTCTTGCTAGTCAGCCATTCCACAGAGACTCAATAACAAAAGCTACACCACATGTTTATAGACAACTGCAAACAAAAGAGTTTTAGGCATGTATTATCATAAATAATGTTTAATTAAATACTAAAACATTATTTCATTACAATTATGACTATAAATATTGGTGTTTTGATATTGAGAGCTATTAGTGGTGTTTACTGTGGAAAACTTTAGTAAATATTCTGTGTACTAAAATACTAACATATTAATAGGATGTGTGCTCTGTGTCAGACAGTATGCTAAACATTATTACATATATTATCTCATTCAGTCGTCACGACAAGCTTATGGCTTGGACACTATCATTAATTCCTTCTGAGGCAATGTGGTTTAGTAAAAAGGATATGGAGTTTGGGGTCAGAAATATCTTGATTAAATTTTGATTCTGCCATTTTCTACCCCTGTCATCTTGGGAAAGCTATTTTTTTCTAAATCTCAGTTTCTTCATGATAAAATGGAAATCAATAGTAAGATATATTTCCAGAGGGTTGTCACTCACAAGTTTTAAGTAAAATTATGTATGTAAAGTTTTTACCAAAATACCTGGTGGAGAATAAGTACTCAATGTTAGCTATCATAATCATCATAATCATTGTATTAAATATATCAACCAAGATAACATGTGGAGGATGTTTGTTTTATATGCATATTGTACCCTGACGTGTGCAGAACACATTATGTGAATTGCATATATATAAAAGAAGTGTGCAAGGAAATGATGATTTTCTTTTTGCAAATTGCATTTCTAGTTACAGCAATGTCCTAATCCATTCCAGTTTTTTGAAAAGCCTCAGGGAAATGACTCTGGGTCTTTCTAATCAATTTCCCATTACCTATTGCTGCTCCACTAAGTTTCTGTTTCTTATAAACAAATTCTTTACTACTCAGAAAACCTTAAGGGGCTCCCCTCCCTTTGACTAAGCATGGGGCTCTTAATCGGGGTCCGGGTCTGGTAGAGGATAAGAAAAACAGAACGATACCTGTGCTTATTTTTATCTAGCTTTTTTATGTTTGTGTATGTTTTATAATGGCATAATAGTACAGTGGTACATGTACATAATTTTAAATAAATAAATAAATGAATAAATAAATAAGCATATGCCTGGTGCATGCATGCAAAGATATTGTTGCAGGTAGGAATGCATTCACTAAAATTTGGAGAGCACCAAACTGGAGAATAAAACTTCCTTGCCCTGGAAGTACTTTATGTTTAATCCCCAGCCTGTTTTTCTAAGTGTTATCTTCTATCATCTCTATTAATATTTTATTATAAAACTTTCAAACATTCAAAATTAATCCCTATCATATAAGGGACTAATATACCTCATCAGGCACTAATTCGTGTCCAGTCTTATTTTCTGTATGTCTACTCACCTCACCCCTTGCTGTATTTATATGCAAATCCAAGATATTTGAGCATTTATTTTTCTGTTGTTGTTGTTGTTGTTGTTGTTCTTGTTGTTGTTCGAGACAGGGTCTCACTAGTTCAGGCTGGCCTTAAACTTGCTTATGTAGCCCAGGCTGGCCTTGAATTCATGGCAATCCTCCTGAGTGATGGGACAGGTATGCTATCATACCCAGTGAAGCATTTAATACAAAAACATTTCAGTAAGAATCCTTTATAAATAAGAACCTTTAAACATTACCACAATGAGTCTCTATATTTTGAAAATTACCACTTCCTTAATATTATCAAGAAATGAGTGATGAACAATGAGAAAGTCCTGTAGAAACCCAACCTCCAAAGATAAACATTGTCCACGATTTAGGACATCTTTTTTCAATCTTTTTCTGTATGAATATTGTTATCCTGTGCAGGGGATTAACTTTGGATTCAGAGTTGTTCTGACCACAGCTGCCTTTTACCTGAGTCTCAGTTCCATCAGATTTCATGTAAGTGTGCTGGCTGGAAGGAATATAACTGACATGAAAATGAGAATGCTCCAATGAACAACTAACACATCATTAGCCTTCTAGAAAAATCCAACATTTGATGCAATTGCTTTGGACTTTAAAATTACCACAGACCCCACCGACCCTAGGCCCAATAGCATTAGTCAAATCACAGAAGAATTTTTTTTTCAGAAGAAAGACTAAAATTAAATATTGATATCTCCAGCTCCCGAATACTACAGTGGCTCAATTCCTTTTACTATGAATTTCATCTTGCATTGTGATCTGTTTTAGAAAAGACACTCTTCCTTTGTTTATGTTGCACTTTCATATATTTCTAAAGGCCAGTTACTAATCATCTAAAGGCTATTTCTGAGCCACTCTGCATGTTGCTCTAATTTCTTCAGCCTGGATTATTGCTTTGGCTATGAGGCAGTTTGCTCTTTGACTGTTTATCACCCACTGAGATTCTGTTAACTGTTCTTGAAATTGAAAAACAAAAAAAGAAATTAGCTATGTTCAGGTATGTTCCAAACATTTAGAAATCTTCCTGGAGCATACATGAGGCCCTGGATAGGTAGCAACACTACAAAAAAATACAAAACAAACAAACAAAAAGAACAAAGAAATGTCTTCATGAGGCTCAAAACACATGAACATGACATTTTTTGTCTCTAATATCTTTGCTTTGAAAGTGGTCAGTTTTGACCTCTATAGCTGATTCATTCTCTCTCTCTCTCTCTCTCTCTCTCTCTCTCTCTCTCTCTCTCTCTCTCTCCCTGTCAGATTACCTTTATGAATTTCAGTACTAGTTTTCCCTCTGCCAGTCCAAAAACTATTCAAAAATTTTGATAGACCTTCCCTAATCTTCTTTTAGAAACAGGTTACAGTAATGGCTGTTCAGCTTTGAAATTAAAGTGAGGAATCTTCGCTTTTGAACTGAAACCCATAAAATCTTTGACAAGATTTCAAATCTGGAATATTCCAGAAAATCAAGAAGAGAAACCCATAAATCCCATAAAAAAAACCTCGTGTCTATAAAATGTTGTTACATCAAATAATGGAATGAATAAAATCCTACATATTGCTGAAAGAAATAGATAATTATCCCAACTAGATTATAAAATTAACTACTACCTTCAACTGAATGTCCTCTAATATCTTCTCTGTATGTATAGTTATATCTCAATTTTCTGTTATGTACTAGCTTCAGAGCCTAAGATTTGTTTTCTTGTTTTCATTCTTCCTGTTAATTCTCATTTCCACTCTACAGTCTGGACCAAAGTTCTGTATCATTTGTGGCATCATAATTCACAACTATAGGCAGAATTAGTTTTGGCATATGAGATCTGGGGAGCTGAGCTTTCTTGGTAATCTCCAACCTAGTACTATTTATGTTGTTTTCATTTAGATTAACATCCGTTGCCCATCTTGCCCATTCCCTTGTGGTCCATGACTCCTGTATCCCATGAAAAAAGGCAAGATGGGCCTATTCATTCATTCAGCAACTGTCAATAACTTTGTAATCTGGTCAAATATGCTATGTACTAGAGGCAGGTACAATGATAAATATGATTTTGACATAGTTGTGGTCAAAAAATGGAGTGCTCATTCTAGAATAGGAAAACCCTTGTCATTCCCCAAGAAAAGAAGAATTCAGAGCAAGTAAGCATTATAAGCAGTCTTCCTGTGCACAGTAATGTAGGCCTAGTAAAATGGTCTCGCAAGGTAAAAACATGAAGACCCATCTAACCAATGAGGAAAACAAAATCACACCTGCTCCATGACTGTATTAGTCTGCTTTCCTATTGCTGATACCAAATACCTGCACCTGCAGTTTAAAGGAGGAAAGGTTTGTTTTGGCTAACAGTTTCAGATGTTATAGTACAAGATTGGCTTCAAGAAGAAACATCATGGTGAAAGGGTCTGGCAGAGAAGCTACTCAACTCCTGGCATCTATAAAGCAAAGAGCAGAGGAAGAGCCCAAGAAGAACAGGCTAGGGACTAGACATAGCCCCAGTTGTCACACTTCCTTGAATGAGGCTTCACCTCCTAATGGCCCATTCAGCTATGAATGCAAAATCAGTCCATCCATTGTCAAAATTAGTGCAGTCACAATTCAGTCACCTCTCCAGGAACTTCAATCCAGTCACACTGACAATCAAGATTAACTGGCACAATGTCATTCAACAATTTTTGTGAAATTTTTAAATATTTTCAATTACAAACATATAAGGACCTGAAAAGGTACAGTGAATTGATATACATTTAGCACACAACAATTTAAGCCATTAGAACTTAGAGAAGTAAAATGAGTCTTTGTAAAAACTTACCAAGTGTGGTTTGAACCGTGCTTGCCTGCTTTTACTCACTGTCTAACTTATGGTAAGGACAAGCACCTTGTTTGTGCTCTGGTAAATTGTCACACCCCTTTGTAAATTTGGATCAGCTTCTGAAGTTTTATCATTGTGCTTTTGGTCGTGTGAGATGTCACCAAGAGCTCCATCAATGTGATGTATTGATTTTTTTCTCAGTGCCACTTCCTCAGAGACAGTTTCATCCTTTTCAACACTGTCACTGTCTATTTTTGTCAGTGTTCACCTTCACTGAATCTCTGGTTCACATCTGTAGTCTCAAAGGAAGACATTATTATCTCCATTTTCAGTTATTCCAATTGTTCCCCTGACATTGGGTTTTAATTTCACTTCCGGTATCATCACTTTACATTTCTTGCCACCACACTTCCACCTGTGACTTTGTCACTAAGCAGGCAAAACGGAGACACTCCACTAAATGCTCTGCTGCCTGAGCATGCGTGGAAGAGTGAATACTCAATGAGTGATGGCTCACAACCCTTGGGAGAAGTGATGTGATTGGTCACTTGCCATTACACACAACCTTTATTAGTGATCATTGGACTAAAGAGCCTATGGCAAAGTTTGCACTTTATACAATTAATCTGTTAACATACTGTGGTAACTGGAACTAAACCATGTTGCTAGGGACTGGTGATTAAACCATGGAAACTAAAATTCATGCATATCAGAAACATAAATAATGAGGGCCAACTCTACTCAGATGATTGAAAGGTCTAAAAACCAGTGGTAAAATAGCATTCAGCACTTCCCAACAGAATTTTCTGAAGTGGCTGAAATTTTCACTTCTATAATGTTCCAAATATGATAGCAAATCGTCATGTGTGGCCACCGAATATTTTCAATGTGGCCAGTATGGCTAAGCAAAGTGAATTTTTAATTTCATAGAATTTAAAAAGCCACACATAGCTATTGACAACCATGTTCTATAGTGCATTTCTGATGGGCAAGCACATAAAAAATAAACAGAGTAATGAAAAATGTAGCTAAGTTCTAAGAAGGAAATTGCTAGGCTTTGGAGGAAGACTATATTGCATTGGAGCTTTTTCTTGAATTAGAAAGAGAAAACTAATCAGTTAGTATACAGGCACCCATCTCACACAAGCCCTGATGAAGACATTAAAATAGTATATGTAATAGAAAAAGTAGAAAATGAAGACTCTCCATTATTAGACCAGAAGCTCAACTAGCCCAAGTCTTTTCCTCATCTCAGAGTAAAGTCCTAGATCAAAAGAAGACTGGGTTCTGTCACACACACAAAAATGCAAACACAAACATGCAAAGCATTAAATACACCCACCTGTTCTCAGTGATGCCAGTCATGCATATCCACCCCATGGGGATTCTTGCCCTCTACTTTAGATCTTGTAATAGAAAAACACAAATAAAGGAAGTTTTGTTACTTATATACATTAGCTATGTTATACAATTTATATGTAACCTAAGATAACTCCTCTTCCCTGAATTTGGCCAGGGAAGCCAAAAGGCTAGACATCCTTATATGATACATGGTTTGTGTAGATAACTAATTTTTTCCAAGATCAGAACATCTGTTGTAGAATTTTGGCAATACATTAGCTTAAAAATTATTGGCAAAGACATTGGGGAATGGAACTGTTGTGGCAAATATTTGCCTAACCTAGCATAGGCATCTGTTTCCTAAAGCATGACCACCATGACGGTTTAACTCCCCACTAACCCTCAGTTCAGAGCCTAGGCTTTCCTCTGCTTCATTTTTCTTTGTTCTTGGATCCAACTTACTTCCTGGTTGAATCTTAAAACTCTACCAGAGTTCACTCAAATATCCCAAAATAAAAATACACATA